TGGAACCCTGTGGAACCCCACAGGTCAAAGGCTGTGGTGTTGAACAAGAGTCCCCCAATAACACCTTCTGGGTACGACCCTCCAGAAATGACTGGAGCCACTGCAGAGCAGTGCCCCCGAGACCCATTTCCGCAAGGCGCCCCAGAAGGATACCGTGGTCGACGGTATCGAAGGCCAGCTGAGAGGTCCAGGAGCACCAACAGGGACACACTCCCCCTGTCTAGCTCCCCGCAGATCATCCACTAAGGCGACCAAGACTGTCTCGGTACCATGTCCCGGTCTGAAGCCAGACTGTGCCGGATCCAGATATCCGTGTCTCTCAAGAATACCTGGAGTTGTGAGGCCACCACGCTTTCCATGACTTTGCCCAAAAAGGGGAGATTGGAAACAGGCCGAAAGTTGTCGAATTTAGTGGGGTCCAGTGATGGTTTCTTCAACAGCGGTTTTATAACTGCTTGTTTTAAGCACGCTGGAATCTTGCCTTCCCTAAGGGAGGCATTAACCACCACCGTTACCCACTCAGCTGGTTGACCTACATTACCAGCTGCCCATAATAATTACCATCATAAGGTTTTTCTTCAACACACACACAAACTTGCTCCTGCTACAACTTACTGTAACATGTTTTAACCCTTATTTTTTGGATTTATGTACAACATTTATATGCTGCCCTTCTCACCCCAAAGGGGACTCTGAGCAGCTTACAAGATATATATATATATATATATATATATATATATATATATATATATATATATACACACACACATACATACATACATACATACACACACACACACACACACACACACACACATACATACATACACACACACAGTATATTCTGGCATATAAGACTACTTTTTAACCCAAGAAAATCTTCTCAAAAGTCAGGGGTCGTCTTATACGCGGGTGTAGTCTTATGCATGGGAGTCGTCTTAACTCTATATTTTAACTGGAAAAGTTGGGGGTCGTCTTATACGCCCAGTCGTCTTATATGCCGAAATATACGGATTATACACAGGGTTAGTCAAAATGAATAGGCCAATAAGAAAATTAATTTTAGACGAATGTATGTTTACTGTAACCAAACCACAGCTACGTAGCGACAGATAAACTATCAAAGTTTTTTTTGAGCAACACACATGTACGTTAATGCCGCTAGGCGTCGCTAGGGGTCGCTGTTTTCAAAATGGCGGAATCAAGCAAAGAGAAGGCGTTTTGTGTGATGACATTTGCTAAAACAATGTCAGTAATTACGGTCCAGCGAGAATTTCAAGGGTTAGGGTTAGGGTTAGGGTTAGGGTTAGGGTTAGGGTTAGGGATAGGGTTAGGGTTAGGGTTAGGGTTAGGGTTAGGGTAGGGTTAGGGATAGGGATAGGGTTAGGGTTAGGGTTAGGGATAGGGTATAGGGTTAGGGTTAGGGTAGGGTTAGGGTTAGGGTAGGGTTAGGGTTAGGGGGTTAGGGTTGAGGTTAGGGTTAGGGTTAGGTTAGGGTTAGGGTTTAGGGTTTAGGGATAGGGTTAGGGTTAGGGTTAGGGTTAGGGTTAGGGATAGGGTTAGGGTTAGGGTTAGGACCTCAACGAACACCTTCCCAGACGTTGCTGCATTCGATGCCATTACGTCGGATGTGCTGCAACGGATGTGGAATGAACTGGACTATCGCTTGGACATCTGCCGTGTCACACGGGGCGCCCATATCGAACATCTCTGAAGGTGAGACAAAACTTTGATAGTTTATCTGTCGCTACGTAGCTGTAGTTTGGTTACAGTAAACATACATTCGTCTAAAATTAATTTTCTTATTGGCCTATTCATTTTGACTAACCCTGTATATATATATATATACACATACACACACACAATATATTATATTATTAGCATAGTACAATATCAGTATTATATATTACTATACTAGCCGTCCCCTGCCAGGCGTTGCTGTGGCCCAGTCTGATGATCTGGAAAATAAAGTACTGAAAAAGTCTTGGTTTCTAATATATGTAATTTCTTTCTGCTTATGGGTAAACAGTATTTCTCGCTGTTTCTTTGTCAGTGTTGATGTGGAGATTGTCTGGTTTGCCTACTCTGGAACACACAAAATATTATTGTCCTTCTTTAATGGTCCCTTTCAAATCTATGATACTATATCTCTGTGTGTGAATCATATCTATCTATATCTATGGCTGGAGGGCTCTTTGTCAGGAGGCTTTGATTATGTTTTCTTGCCCTGGCAAAGGGAGTTGGATGGCCTTATTTTCTGTTGGTCATGGGGGTTCTGTGTGGAAAGTCTGCCCCGATTCTGTCGTTCGTGGGGTTCAGAATGCTCATTGTAGATGAACTATAAATCCCAGTAACTACAACTCCCAAATGTCAAGGCCTATTTCCCCCAAACTCCCTCTGTGTTCATATTTGGGCATACGGAAGATTTGTGCCAAGTTTGGTCCAGATCCATCATTGTTTGAGTCTACAGTGCTCTCTGGATGTAGGTGAACTACAACTTCCAAACTCAAGGTCAATGCCCACCAAACCCTTCTAGTGTTTTCTGTTGGTCATGGGAGTCCTACCTGCCAAGATTGGTTAAATACCATTATTGGTGGAGTTCAAAATGCTCTTTGATTGTGTTAGAGACCCTAAATTGGGTCTTCTTAGGTCCACATCACGGGAATACGTAAGGAAGGAGACAGTCCCAAAAAAGATCAAAAAACAAGGTTTATTTTAGTTTCTTCATGAAGATGGACAGCCTGGCAGCATACACAGATGCTACCCTTCAAGTGACTGTCGCTCCCTCCTCTGTTTCTGCAGACTTTTATGCTCAAGTAATAGGTCGTGGAAAGTACTCTCTTCGCAGACCCTCTCCCTTGACCTTTTGATGGAAAGTACCTTCTTGTACCTGCAGACTGCGCTTAACCACAACCTTTGAACTTAACCACAACACAACTTCCGACCTCTACATGTCACATCTTGTTTCTTAAAAACATTTTCTTTCCTGTTGCTCCTTTTCTACATAGAAAGGGTATGTTTCCCTTTTGCTGTTAGTTTCATTCAAAGCCCCTTGCTTTGCATTTGCAAATTTCACTCAAAGACCCTTTCAATTGTAGGTGAACTATAAATCCCAGCAGCTACAAGTCCCAAATGACAAACTCAGTTTTTTTGAGTGAAGGACATACATTGGGTTGTTAGGTGTATGCTGACCAAATTTGGTGTCAATTCCCCCAGTGGTATTAGTTCTGCTGATCCCACAAAGGAACACTACATTTTGATTTATATAGATAGATTGTACTATACTATTATATTGTAATATTATTAGTAATATTACATGTAATATAAATATATATAATAATATATTATTATTAGTAGTATTATATTGTATTATATTGTACTACATGGAGCCCCCAGTGGCGCAGTGGGTTAAACCCCTGTGCTGGCAGGACTGAAGACTGACAGGTCGCAGGTTCAAACCCAGGGAGAGGCGGATGAGCTCCCTCTATCAGCTCCAGCTCCTCATACATGAGAGAAGCCTCTAACAAGGATGATAAAAACGTTGCCCGGGCGTCCCCTGGGCAACGTCCTTGCAGACGGCCAATTCTCTCACACTAGAAGCGACTTGCAGTTTCTCATGTTGCTCCTGTGCCCAGGGGGGAGTCTCTCATTGGGTATCACCCATGGATTGAGGTTCTGGGTTTGAGCCTGCCACTTTTGGACTCTCGCTTGCTGAGGTGTTCCAGCGAGTGTCTCTGTAGATCTTAGAAAACTATTTCTAGATTTAAGTCGTTGACGTGCTGGTTGATACCCAAACAGGGGATGAGCTGGAGATGTCTCTGCCTTGGTCCTTTCACTATTGGCTGCTACTTCCTGGCGGATGTCAGGTGGTGCAATACCGGCTAAGCAGTGTAATTTCTCCAGTGGTGTAGGGCACAGACACCCCGTGATAATGCGGCATGTCTCATTAAGAGCCACATCCACTGTTTTAGCGTGGTGAGATGTGTTCCACACTGGGCATGCCTACTCAGCAGCAGAGTAGCATAGCGCAAGGGCAGATGTCTTCACTGTGTCTGGTTGTGATCCCCAGGTTGTGCCAGTCAGCTTTCGTATGATATTGTTTCTAGGCACCCACTTTTTGCTTGATGTTCAGGCAGTGCTTCTTGTAGGTCAGAGCACGGTCCAGAGTGACTCCCAGATATTTCGGTGTGCTGCAATGCTCCAGTGGGATTCCTTCCCAGGTGATCTTCAGAGCTCGGGATGCTTCTCTGTTCTTAAGGTGAAAAGCACATGTCTGTGTTTTGGATGGGTTAGGGATCAGCTGGTTTTCCCTGTAATAGGCAGTGAAAGCACCTAGAGCTTTGGAGAGCTTCCGTTCTACCATCTCAAAGCTCCCTGCTTGAGCGGTGATGGCACGATCATCAGCATAGATGAAGCTCTCTGTCCCTTCTGGCAGTGGCTGGTCATTTGTGTAGATGTTGAACATGGATGGGGCAAGCACGCTCCCCTGAGGCAGGCCGTTCTTCTGTTTCCGCCATCTGCTTCTCTGGCCCGGGGAAGGCCCTGTTTTGGACTTCATCTCCCAGAATCCTCCACCATTGGCCCAACTGGCAGGGGCTTCTGGGAGTTGAAGTCCAAGAAGAAGCAGGAAAATAAGGAAGCTTGGAGGGACAAACCTCTGTCCTGCACACTCATGACAGCTCCCACTTTGGTAGCCTACGCCGGAAGCTGAGGGGCGGGCTCGCGAGCACGTTTCCTGCTTCCGGGAGGCGGGTTCTAGCGAGGGACGTGGCGCACGCAGTGGAGAAAGCGAGGAAGCCGCTCCGCCAATCAGCGCTGCCTGCGAGGTTGTAACGGACCAATGGGAAAGGAGGGGCGTGGCTCTCCGTGGCCCGCGCCCTCCCCTGCATTCGGAAACTGAGGAAACCGCTCCGCCAATCAGCGCTGCCTGCGAGGTTGTAACGGACCAATGGGAAAGGAGAGGCGTGGCTCTTCATGGCTCCGCTCTCTCCTCCCCGCAAGCGCATGCGCAGACAGCCCCGTCATCCCTTTTCTGAGAGAAAGGCTCCTGAGAGGGAGAAAGATGTCGACGCAGCGCTGGGAAGTGGTCAGGAAGCCCAGCCGGAAGGGGCCCTCCAACACGGTCCTCGCGGGGAGGAAGGCGCTGGGCGAGGCCAACGGGGGACAGCGAGGGGCGCCCGCCTCGGGTGAGTAGACCACTCGAGCCGCGCCTCACCGGAAGTGTAGGCCTCAGGGAAGAAGGGGGCTTTTCCATCCGGGGTCAGCTAGCCAAGTGGATCCCTATCCACGTGTCCTATGTAATTCATCTCCCATTTGGCATCCTGGAAGTTGTAGTTCTGCCCTCTTGGGAGATATTATCATACTACACTCCCAAGATTCTATAGTCTTAGTCTCACAAAAGTGAGCTAGGCCAGGCCTGGGCCAAGTTGGGCCCTCCCTCCAGGTGTTTTGGACTCCAACTCCCACAATTCGGAATTGTGGGAGTTGGAGTCCAAAACACCTGGAGGGAGGGCCCAACTTGGCCCAGGCCTGCAAGCTTAGTCCTAGTCTATAGGCTTTGTAAACAATCCATAGGAAAGGGATCTGAGAATCATAACAGAGTTGGAAGGGATGGACCACCTACTCCATGCCCTTTCTGCCATAAATCCCAGTCAAAGCACTCCCAACAGATGGGCATCCAGCCTCTGCTTAAAAGCACCCAAGGAAGGAGCTTCCACCAGATGCCAATTTTCCTCGAGGACCACATCTAGATTAGTCATAGCATATAGGCTTTGTAAACAATCCATAGGAAAGGGATCTGAGAATCATAACAGAGTTGGAAGGGATGGACCATCTAATCCAAGTCCTTTCTGCCATAAATCACAATCAAAGCACTCCCGACAGATGGGCATCCAGCCTCTGCTTAAAAGCACCCAATGAAGGAGCTATCACCGGATGTCAATTTCCCCCAAGGACTACATCTAGCTTAGTCATAGCATATAGACTTTGTAAACAATCCATGGGAAAGGCATCTGCGAATCATAACAGAGTTGGAAGGGATGGACCATCTACTCCAAGCCCTTTCTGCCATAAATCCCAATCAAAGCACTCCCAACAGATGGGCATCCAGCCTCTGCTTAAAAGCACCCAAGGAAGGAGCTTCCATCGGATGTCAATTTTCCTTGAGGACCACATCTAGCGTAGTCATAGCATATAGGTTTTGAGGACCACATCTATCTTAGTCATAGCATATAGGCTTTGTAAACAATCCATGGGAATGAGATCTGAGAATCATAACAGAGTTCAAAGGGCTGGACCACCTACTCCAAGCCCTTTCTGCCATAAATCACAGTCAAAGCACTCCCAACAGATGGCCATCCAGTCTCTGCTTAAAAGCACCCAAGGAAGGAGCTATCACCGGATGTCAATTTTCCCCAAGGACTACATCTAGCTTAGTCATAGCATATAGGCTTTGTAAACAATCCATGGGAATGGGATGTGAGAATCATAACAGAGTTGGAAGGGACCATCTTGCCAGGTCACAAATTCATATATACATACATAAACATTAAAAACATTTATCTCAATATTAAGATACACCATTGAAAACTGTCCTAATCATCAGCATCTAATCTAATTGACCTGGTCATCAATTGCTGCTTCATTGCCCTGCCCCGAAAGCTTGGCCCCACAGCCAAGTTTTGACCATCCTTTTAAAGGACAGGAGGGAGGGGGCCAACCTGATCTCACCAGGAAGGGCATAGCTGGGGGGCAATCACCGAGAAGGTCCTGTCTCTCGTTTCCACCAATCGTGCCTCTGACAAGGGAGGGACAGAGAGCAGGGCCTCCCTGGAGGATCTTAACCTCTGCAATGGTTCATAGGGAGAGATGCGTTCGGACAGGTAAATTGGGCCAGGGCCGTTTAGGGCTTTCTAGGCCAAAGCCAGCACTTTGAATTGTGCCCGGTAGCAAACTGGAAGCCAGTGGAGCTGGCGTAACATGGGAGTTGTATGCTCCCTGTATGCTGCCCCAGTTATTTCTGTCCTTCTTTAGGGGTCCCTTTCAAATCTAGGATACTATATCTGTGTGTGTGTGAATCATATCTATCTATCTATATTTATGGCTGGATGGCTCTTTGTCAGGAGGGCTTTGATTACATTTTCTTGCCCTGGGGAAGGGAGTTGGACTGGATGGCCTTAAGTATTTTCTGTTGGTCATGGGGGTTCTGTGTGACTCAATTCTGTCGTTGGTGGGGTTCAGAATGCTCTTTGATTGTAGGTGAACTATAAATCCCAGTAACTATAACTCCCAAATGTCAAGGTCAATTTTCCCCCAAACTCCATCTGTGTTCATATTTGGGCATATGGAATATTCATGCCAAGTTTGGTCCCAGATCCATCATTGTTTGAGTCCACAGTGCTCTCTGGATATAGGTGAACTACAATTCCCAAACTCAAGGCCAATGCCCACCAAACCCTCCAAGTGTTATTCCTTGATCATGGGAGTCCTGTATGCCACGTTTGGTTCAATTCCATCATTGGTTGAGGTCAGAATGCTCTTTGATTGTAGGTGAACTATAAATCCCAACAACTACAACTCCCAAATGACAAAATCATTTTTTTCGAGTGATGGTCATTCCTTGGGTTAGTAGGTGTCTTGTGGCCAAATTTGGTGTCAATTCGTCCAGTGGTTGTTGAGTTATGTTAATCCCACAAATGAACATTACATTTTTATTTATATAGATTATTATTATTATTATTAAAATTGTTACTGAACCTTTGCTTGGTTTTGAGACAGTTATGTGCCTTTCCTGGGTGTCTCAGGTCTGCATGCCTTCCCACCAGCAGTGTCCCCACTTTTTCCTTTTGGTTTCTCTCTGGGGCCAAAACCCCTCACGCAGCCCTTTCCTTCCTCTCTTGCCCCACTTGTAGTCCCTCTGGCTACTTCGGAAACCCTCTTTGAGCTGGGCTTTGAGAAGTCAAAGAAGAAGCAGAACAAGGAGCAGGTACCACCACCTTCGGGATCCCAGCAGCAAAAGAAACAAAATGCGGGGAAAAATGCCAAGAAAGCACCAGCCGGAGAACTGAGGCAGAGAGAAGTGAAATTCCGGACGTTGGAAGAGGCGCTGAAAGTGGTGAGTTGCCACCCTGAGCTTTCCCTTGCTGTTGTGCTACGTGTACTTTGAGCGGCAGCTAACTGGGGGAAAGCCCTGCTCTTGGAATGTTGTGTTCCTGTTGCAGCCAGATGAGAGAGCAACACAATGTTCCCGTCCAAAATGTGCATTGTTGCTGGCTTCGGGCTTTTGCACAATTAATTTGAAGTAGAGTAGACCCATTCAACCAGTGGCTGAATGATGAATCAGTATTGTCGAAGGCTTTCATGGCCAGAATCACTGGGTTGTTGTATTTATTTATTTATTTGGTGCATTTATTGAGCGCCGCTCTCAGCCCTAGGGCGAGTTGTAGATTTTTTTTGGGCTATAGGGCCATGTTCTAGAGGCATTCTCTCCTGACGTTTCGCCTGCATCTATGGCAAGCACCCTCAAAGGTAGTGAGGTCTGTTGGAACTAGGAAAATGGGTTTATAGATCTGTGGAATGACAAGGGTGGGACAAATAACTCTTGTCTGTTGGAGCTAGGTGTGAATGTTTCAACTTATTTATTTATCATGTCAGGGGCAACCAGACAATTGTATTACATTTCTAACAGAACAAAACAAACAAACTGCGAAGGGCTTGCCCCAATTCAAAGAAAAGGGGTTTTCAGGAGAGAGAAGTTACGATTTATTATTTATTATTCTTAATGGAGCCACCAATTTGTAATGTGAGGTAATTTTGGGAGATTGGGCACACTGAACGCCGAATCAATGGAGATGAGGCAGTCTTAAAATCAAAGAGAACAAGTTTATTTTGAAACAAAGCGTATGGTTGCAGTTTGGTGATAAACTTGGAAGATACTTGGAGAACGTTACATATAACTTGGTTGCGATACAGTACAGACTTCTGATGTTACAACTTATAAATAACTTTTGCTGTGGTGAAGCACTTTATTAAACAATGTTTCCTGAGGTGAATAGTCTTCCTGTTTGATCCTTCCGTGATCAAACCTCAGATCTCTAGTTCACTTTTAACTAGTGATCTAAACAAGCTTCTATTAGTCTTCTCTAACTAATGAAACTAATAAGGTTTCCCCTTCAGCCTTCCTAAACTGAAGAAACCTCTGACTATTCACAAACACTGCTTCTCTACTTCCCACTCTCTCTCTCTCAACTGCTAACTCCGACTCCAAAACCCTAACTCCTCACTCCTCGGAACCTAAACCCTAACTGACTTTAACTGTCGCTTTTCAAAACTCTCCTCTCTAAGCTCCTCCCACTTCTCTACAGCATCGTTTCCATGGTAACACACTCCTCACAGCTGGGCCGCTCCAGCATTAGGGCACCCAGTGCAAACACCAATACAGTTATAATCTTACAATTTATAATCAACTTCTGTACACAAACAAACAACACACAAAGTTTGCAGGCTTGCTAGTTGATTAAATGTCCTTTGACCAGTATCTGGCCACTTGGAGTGCCTCTGGTGTTGCTGCAAGAAGGTCCTCCATTGTGCATGTAGCAGGGCTCAGGTTGCATTGCAGCAGGTGGTCAGTGGTTTGCTCTTCTCCACACTCGCATGTCAAGGATTCCACTTTGTAGCCCCATTTCTGAGGTTGGCTCTGCATCTCGTGGTGCCAGAGCGCAGTCTGTTCAGTGCCTTCCAAGTCGCCCAGTCTTCTGTGTGCCCAAGAGGGAGTCTCTCATTTGGTATCAGCCATTGGTTGAGGTTCTGGGTTTGAGCCTGCCACTTTTGGACTCTCGCTTGCTGAGGTGTTCCAGCGAGTGTCTCTGTAGATCTTAGAAAACTATTTCTAGATTTAAGTCGTTGACGTGCTGGCTGATACCCAAACAGGGGATGAGCTGGAGATATCACTGCCTTGGTCCTTTCACTGTTGGTTGCTACTTCCCGGCGGATGTCAGGTGGTGCAATACCGGCTAAGCAGTGTGATTTCTCCAGTGGTGTAGGGCGCAGACACCCCGTGATAATGCGGCATGTCTCATTAAGAGCCACATCCACTGTTTTAGCGTGCTGAGATGTGTTCCACTCTGGGCATGCATACTCAGCAGCAGAGTAGCATAGCACAAGGGCGGGTGTCTTCACTGTGTCTGGTTGTGATCCCCAGGTTGTGCCAGTCAGCTTTCGTATAATATTGTTTCTAGCACCCACCTTTTGCTTAGATATTCAGGCAGTGCTTCTTGTAGGTCAGAGGACGGTCCAGAGTGACTCCCAGGTATTTGGGTGTGCTGCAATGCTCCAGTGGGATTCCTTCCCAGGTGATCTTCAGAGCTCGGGATGCTTGTCTGTTCTTAAGGTGAAAGGCACATGTCTGTGTTTTGGATGGATGAGGGATCAGCTGGTTTTCCCTGTAGTAGGCAGTAAGAGCACCTAGAGCTTCAGAGAGTTTCTGTCCAACCGTCTCAAAGCTCCCTGCTTGAGCAGTAATGGCACGATCATCAGCATAGATGAAGCTCTCTGTCCCTTCTGGCAGTGGCTGGTCATTTGTGTAGATGTTGAACATGGATGGAGCAAGCACGCTCCCCTGAGGCAGGCCGTTCTTCTGTTTTCACCATCTGCTTCAAATGTTTCAACTGACCACCTTGATTAGCATTTGATGGCTTGGCAGTTGTTTGGTGTGGCTTGTTGGTGCCTGGGGCAATCTTTTGTTGAGAGGTTATTAGATGTCCCTGATTGTTTCCCCACTCCTTTGCTTTCCTTCGTCTGGAAATGAATTGGCTCCTCTTGACCTGGAGTCTGGGAGAAAATGCCTGTCATATACCTCTAGTGTGGGCATGTGCAAACTTGGTCCCTCCAGGTAGGCTGTTAGGAATTGTTGAAGTCCAGAACACCTGGAGGACCAAAGTTTGCCCATGTCTAGGTTTTAAATGCTTGTATGTTATTGTTTATTGTGTATTTTTTGTTTATGAGATTTGTTTTAACTGTTTTGTATTGATTATTTGTTATTGCCTTTGTTTATTGATGTACTGTGGGCTTGGCCTCATGTAAGCCACACCGAGTCCCTTGGGGAGATGGTAGCGGGGTACAAATAAAGTTTTATTATTATTTATTATGTCTGCTATAGTGTACGAGCCAGTTTCGATCTGGGGAGGAAAGGCACAGTGCTCCAGGTCACCCATGTCTCCTCCCTTCTTTCTTGCTGCAGAGACTGGTTCTGTCTGTTCACTGAAGACTCTTTTTCTCTCCCTTCTGTTAGTTGGATGTGTCGGAACTCCAGAAGGCACTGGATAAAAGCCTGGATTTGTTCCCGGAGAACCGTTCCGTGTGGCTCAAAGACCTGGCTGGCTACCTGAACTACAAGCTGCAGGCCCCAGAAAGCGAACCCACCCTCAGCCAGCACCCTCACGGTCAGTCATGCCTCCAGGCATATGAGGGTGTCCCCTTCCTTCCTTCCTTCCTTCCTTCCTTCCTTCCTTCCTTCCTTCCTTCCTTCCTTCCTTCCTTCCTTCCTTCCTTCCTTCCCTCCCTCCCTCCCTCCCTCCCTCCCTCCCTCCCTCCCTCCCTCCCTCCCTCCCTCCCTCCCTCCCTCCCTCCCTCCCTCCTTCCTTCCTTCCTTCCTTCCTTCCTTCCTTCCTTCCTTCCTGTTGGAACTCAGCCTGTACTTGTGTTTCTCCTTCCTTACTTCCTGTTGGAGCTCAGCCTGTGATTGTGTTTCAGGATCAGGGTGCTTTGAATGTGGGGAGTGATGTCAATGAATTTCAAGATGGCAATGGTTTGGTCAGTGAGATTGATGCAGAGAATGACCAGGAGATCCTTGTTCAAAGTGTAGTTTTCCATGAGAATGGCCCTGAAGAGTGTGGGGATGATGGTGTACTCCCTGAATTGCTACCAGAGAGCTCCCAGGATTTGGGGCTTGAAAACAACTCGGCACCTGCAGAAGTTAATGAGCAAATAGATATTTATTATTTGTTGTATGATGCGGCATTGAATGTTGCCATAATCTGTAAGCTGCTCTGAGTCCCCTTTGGGGTTGAGAAGAGCGGGGTATAAATACAGTAAATAAAAATAAAAATAGAAGGTAGGAGATTGGTCAAAATAGACAGGCTGGACAGTGCCTTCGGCGTTCTGCCAGGCTCCGACAGAAAAAGATAAGGGAGTCTCAATTAAAGCGAAACCAATTTCTGAGTGCGTGGAATAGCTTAACGAGGGGATAAAAGTTCCAAGTATGGGAAATGTAGCCAGATGAAGCATCATTTAGAATCAAATTAAGTTCTCATCCTTGTTTCGTGGAAACATTGCTTAAGTATTTCTTGTTTCATGATTTTGACTCCTGTATTTTATGGTTGCATACTCAGGCCTTGGGTTAATGTTTCCTGGTTTTTTGGATTATATTAGAGAAGTGTGGACTTTGTTTTCATGGACTTTGCTGAACTGTACCCTGGACTATTTTGTTCCTGCTTATCTTCTTACCTAATTGGATTTACTTATTTCTTTAAAGTGCTTTCTATTTTGCTGCTTTTTAATTATCTTGTGGTTTATTCTCGGTCGTGCAGCTCTTCTGATGTCTGAGGTGGAGTATTCATTGTCCTGTAAAGCCCAGTAGTGTCTTTCTTTGTTGCAAAGATACAAGCAATATATCCATTTCAAAACAGAAACAGCTTGTGAGTGGTTATTTAATATTGCTATATAGATCCTACAGTCTTACAGCCACTCCTTCTAGGGCTTGTTCTCCAGACCCTTGATCATTTGAATCACCCTCTTCTGGACACATTCCAGCTTGTCAACATCTCCCTTCAGTTGTGGTGCCCAGAATTGGACATAGTGTGATTCTAGGTGTGGTCTAACCAAGGCAGAATAGCGCATGAGGAGCATGACTTCCCTGGATCTAGACACTAGGCTCCTATTGATGCAGGCCAAAATCCCATTGGCTTTTTTTTTACCACCGCATCACATTGTTGGCTCATGTTTAACTTCTTGTCCTTGAGGACTCCATTATATTTTTCACACGTCCTGCTCTCTAGCCAGGCCTTGTCCCTCATTCTGTATCTTTGTATTTCCTTTTTTTCTGCCTAAGTGGAGTCTCTTGCATTTGTCCCCACTGAACTTCATTTTGTCAGTTTTGGCCAATCATCTCTCTAACCTGTTAAGATTGCCCTGCAGTCCTGCAGATATGTTCCCACAAAGCATTTTTCATCCCTAGCCAATAATGAAGAATGATCAGAATTATGGTCCAGAAACACATCGCTGTGATATACCTTGCTGTCTCTTTCGCGCTGTGTGAATTATTGCTGATTGACACCGGCCTGAAATGTTGGCTTGAAAACAAAAGTTAAAGGCCATTGAGGACCTCGTGGTAAAGTTATTTGCGACAGAACATGGATTCTCACAGGGCAAACCACTCCCGACAGAAGAGCTAGAGCAGCGTAGATTGAATGTGTAGCTCTTCCCATGACACGTGATACACTTGTGGGTACAAAAGTGAGGTTCTCCCTGACGTGCTCCTGCCAGTGTTCTTTCTGTGTCCTTGGCACACCCATTTCAAATGGGAGGTTACCAAGAGCCAGTATCAGTGTTGAGGCTCAGCGTCATGGCAGTGAATCTACTACCAGTTGTAGGAGAAGGAGGAGTGATGCTGAGTCAGACCTGGATCAGCGTCAGCTGAAGCGCATTCGTGAAATCATTTTGGCCCCAAGCGATTCGGAGGACTTTGCAGGGTTCGGCCCTGAGGACCTAGTAGAGTCAGATTACCGGAGAGTAAAGCGTGTTGCCAGTGAATCTGACAGTGATGACGATACCCTGAGTAAGAGACTTAAAGATACAGCTGATAATTCCAGTTCAGGGGAATTGGAAGCCAGTGAGGGTGAAATGGAGGAGGAACTGGATTGGACTCTTGTTAAGAACATTAGGGACATATGCACCCAAGCTACGTCCAGTGATGAGTTCGAAGGGTTCCAAGATACCTGGAAGGAAGGTTCATCTTGGCAGGATCAGGAATTGGATCAACGATGGCAGCATTGGTGTGGCGTCGAGGCAGCAGCTGAGGGAAATGATTCAGATGCTAGTAATGAAGGCCAATCAAGTGATGGTGACTGTGAATAAATTGAGAACGCTGGGATGTGTAACTTTGCAGAAGACAAAGTGTTGCTTATGTGCTTTGTGCTGCCTAACCTCTGTTTGGGTCCAGCTTTCCTGCCTTGTGTATCTTGACTTCGGAACCGTTCTACGTGAGTGACTTCATCCTGCCCCTGACCTTGGAATCGTCTTTGGACTACGCAACTGTTTATCGGACTTTGTTATTGCTCTGAACTCTGCTTGATTAAGAAGCTGTTTTGATTTTGTGTTTGCCACACGCTCTTGTTAACTCCTGCTTTCCTTTTTGCTGAGCTCAAGTCCTGGAAGATCCGGCTTATCTCTTTCTTTGTTTACCTGCCTGAAGGCTCTTTTGTTTTGATAATTGCACTGCTGTTAAGTGCCCTTACAGATAGAGACTCATTAAAGACTGCTGTTAACACTTTAATTACTGTGTAAGACAATCTCTGTTACCTCAGTCATAACAATCAGGGTGAGCTGCTCTACCCTTTGCAGATGTGGCCTTCTCCAAATCATCCTATTTTTTTCCTTCTTGCAGACTACCCTTACTGCCTTATCAACAAAGAGCTGAAGAGCATCATCAGGTCGCTGCTCTCAAAAGCCGCAGACGTCCTGGAGCTTTTCTTTGACCACTGTATTTACACAATGTTGCAAGAGCTGGACAAGACCCCCGGTAAGAGCTGAAAGAAGACCCTAGGTAGGGCCATGCACCTTCTCTGCTCGTGTAGTTGCACAGCAACTGTGTGTTCCTTTCCTTCCTGTGAGTTAAGGGCATTTGCGGCCAGGTTTCCCTGTTCCATCCGGGTCCCTCAGTTATCTGCTTCCTCTTCACCTTTCAGGGGAATCCCTGTATGGCTACAGGATCTGCATTCAAGCCGTGCTCTTGGACAAGCCTCGAGTGGCCACGGCGAACTTGGGCAAGGTGAGTGGCTCAGCTGGCTGTATCCAACTTGGGGGCCCTTCAGGGGAGGGGAATAATTATTGGTCAGAATGGAATAGATACCCATCCTCTCTGCAGAAAAAGAGACAACTGCTTGCAAAATGCGAAAATAGGCCTGGGCAAACTTGGGCCCTCCCTCCCGGTGTTTTGGACTTCAACTCCCACAATTCCTAACAGCCGGTAGGCTGTTAGGAATTGTGGGAGTTGAAGTCCAAAACACCTGGAGGGCTGAAGTTCGCCCTCCAGAACAATTCAAAGTCATGCACATGTGATAAATGGCTCAATCCTATATTTGGTCCATTTAGAGTTAATACTTATTGCCTTCAGTGGGACTTAACTCCCATCTCAGGATGCATATCACGGAGAGTAATCATGATTCCTTCCTTTCATATTTAGTGCATTCTTATTCATTTTCTAGGCCAAATCAGGTCTCACAGAGGCTAGATGGGCTGTGTTTTAAAGACTAATAGAAAAGTCCAACACAAAAGGAGAAAACGAGTGGAGAGGGAAGAGGTGGAATAAGCGTTCCTTCCCTTATTCCAAAGCCAGCTGAACTGGTTTCTCTCGCAATGCAAAATTTTAAGTTAAAGGAGTTACAGTTTAGTTTAATTGTCTTTTAATTTTTGTATTGTAAAGCGTGTTGTGTTTCTACGGTGTGCCTGGAGCCTTGGCTCTCTTAATTAGAAAAGGGCAGGATATGAATCTTTCCTGCTGGGACTTGTGATCCAATGCCGGTCTCCCTCTTTGCTCGCCTTTTGTTGCTACTTCAGTACCTGGAGCTGCTGCGGTCCCATCAGAACCGGACGCCCAAATGCCTGACCATCATGTGGGCCTTGGGGCAAGCGGGATTCGCCGATCTGACGGAAGGACTGAAAGGTGAGGCGGGTGATGGTTTTCCATCTGAGAGATGAGAGCATTTGCATAGCTGCTGTGATGTCTTGGCCTAGCCTTTCCGTAGCCTTTAGTACGGAAAGGCTCTTTCCTGGAGAGGGTTTTCCACGAGCCCTTTGCAACAAACTGTGGCATCCAGATCTGGAGGTTGTTGGACAGGAGTTCCCATCCTTCCTCATTAACATTGCCAAAACCATCTTTGGAGGATGATGGGATCTGTAGTCTAGCAAGATCTTCCAGACCCACGTATTTCCCAGCCCTCTTCCAGGTGGCTCAGCCTTTCCGGGATATGCAGATCTGGGCACCAGGACTGTGGCGCAGCTGGCCGAAAAGTCATAAGTTCAAAGCCAGCCTGAGTCGGAGTGAGCTTCCGACCATTGAGTAGCTCGCTGTTGAGCTTTGCAGCCCGAAAGACAGTTGCATCTGTCAAGTAGGAAATTTAGGTACTGCTTATGTGGGGAGATGAATTTAAGTAATTTACAACACCATAAAAATCTTCAGCAAGCTGTCAGTGTCATCGGCAAGCACAGCAAGACAGGAACATATCCATCACAGCCACCTTAGGCTATAAACTACTTTATTTTACAGCTATATACATTAGAAGCTACTTAACACTAAGCACATCGTAAAAGTAACATTGCCAACACACGAACTCCCGTTATCAGTAGTAGTCCACACCTCCTGCATTCCAGAGTGACGTATGATGTACGAGACATGAAGCTGCGTCCGTTTGCTCTATACACTTGATTTATGACCTCTCTAGGAATGCCATTCCCTCCATGGTTCAGTTAACTCTTTCCACACAGAAATACACTCGGCACAAAACTACTGCATTTTAAACATACATGCATACTTTGAAAGCTACATTACAAATTGCAAACAAGAAGAGATCATTGTTTTTAAAAGAATCCAAAACTGAAGCATTTATTTATTTGATTTACCCTATTTATACTCTGCCCTTCTTGACCCCGAAGGGGGACTCAAGGTGGCTTTACATATAAAGAGCTATTCAATGCCTTAAAACAATTAAAATAAACATTTAAATTAAGTATTAAAATTAATGCACATTGAAACATTGTTCTTTTACTTAAGCTTTGCAAACTCCCTCTGTGTGAGTGATCTGCCGTGCTTTGTTTGTCAAATGCTTTTTTTCCTTTTGGGAAAATTCCACAACCGAAGGGTTATGGGCCCAGCACGCTTCCACCTGCTGCGCAATTCTGCTGTCCTTGGTTTGTTTAATGCTTTTTTTCCTTTTTGGGAAATTTCCAGAACAGGCCAGAGGTCTAAATGTTGCTCTGACGCTTCCCTTCACAGTGTGGCTTGGCATCATGCTTCCGGTCCTGGGCATCAAGTCTCTCTCCCCGTTTGCCATCACCTTCCTGGATCGTCTGCTCATGTGAGTTGCTTTGCAGCAGGGCGGGCTGTGTGTGGCAGACCTACCTGGCAGGGGTGAGGCTGGGGTCTCATGTGGTCTCTCTATTGAGTTATAGCTGACTTTCCCCCCCCCCCCCCCCAGTTGGGATAGAAGGTGGTTTCCTATGTAATTGTTTATAAAGTTCCAGTGAGGCCTGTGTGGCAGAGAGAGGCTACTGCTTGGCTCTTTGTGAGGAGCCTTCACAGCAAGGATTTGAGAGAAGCGACACCCTGTTTTCCCTTTGCAGGAATGTTTGGGTGCTGAAAACAAATGCCTTACATCAGGCATGGACCAACTTGGGCCCTCCCTCCAGGTGTTAGGAGTTATTATTATTATTATTATTATTTATTTCGGTTGCTTCTACCCCGCCCTTCTCACCCCGGAGGGGACTCAGGGCGGCTTACAAAAGCAAGGCACAATTTGATGCCCGCATCACATAACAACAATAAGACAAATAACATCAGTTAACAGAAAACAGCAATTCTAGCAATAACATCAATTAACAGAAAACGATAATTATTGTAAGGCAAAAACAACCATAAAACCAGTAAAAGCAATAAAACCAATACAAACCATTTCTCCTCATTGACGGTCAGCGTTTCGCAATCTCATCGTTCAAATTCCGATTCCACAATTGTCAGTCCTTTCAGTCCTATCCATCTGGTTGTCCATATCTAGTTGTCAGATTGCCCAAAGGCCTGGTCCCACAACCACGTCTTTACTTTCCTCCTGAAGGAAAGGAGGGATGTTGATGCCCTAATTTCCCCCGGGAGTGAGTTCCACAGGTGAGGGGCCACCACTGAGAAGGCCCTGCTCCTTGTCCCCACCAGCCTCACTTGTGATAGCGGTGGGGTCGAGAGCAGGGCCTCCCCAGATGATCTCAAATTCCGGGGTGGGACGTAGAGGGAGATACATTCGGACAGATACACTGAATTGGAACCGTAAAGGGTTTTGTAGGTCAAAACCAACACCTTGAATTGTGCTCGGAACTGATTCGGCAGCCAGTGGAGCTGACACAGCAGGGGGGTGGTGGTGTGCTCCCTGTATGTCATTCCGGGGAGCAATCTGGCTGCCGCTCGCTGGACCAGTTGAAGTTTCCGAACAGTCTTCAATGGCAACCCCACGTAGAGTGCGTTGCAGTAGTCTATTCGGGATGTAACAAGAGCGTGGACCACCGTGGCCACATCAGACTTCCCAAGGTATGGTGCACAAGTTTTAGTTGTGCAAAAGTAATGGGAATTGAAGTCCAAAACATCTGAAGGGAGAGCCCAAGTTGGCCTATGCCTGCCTACAATCAACCTTCTGATGATCATCAAGTTTGCAGACGACATCAAATGGGGAGGGAGAGCCAATGCTCCAGAGGACAGGAGCAGAATTCAAAACGATCTTGACAGATTAGAGAGAAGATAGGCCAAAACTAACAAAATGAAGTTCAACAGGGACAAATGCAAGAGACTCCACTTAGGCAGGAAAAACGAAATGCAAAGATACAGAATGGGGGATGATGATGCCTGGCTCGAGAGCAGTACGTGGGAAAAAGATCTTGGAGTCCTCGTGGGGAGGAAGTTAAACATGAGCCAGGAATGTGATGTGGCGCCAAAAAAAGCCAGTGGGATTTTGGCCTGCATCAGTAAGAGCATAGTGTCTATATCCAGGGAAGTCATGCTCCCCATGACTTCCCTAGATCTAGAGTCTTTGTTATGCAGAGCAACATATATTCAGTCATGTGAACAGTTGCATTGACTCACACAATGCCCTTTAAGAGAAATTCAAATGCTCCTTAGGTGTCCATGTGAAAGATCTCCTTCCAGGAGCTCAGAAGCAGGAAAACATCCTAACATGTCTTAGAATCATAGAATCAAAGAGTTGGAAGAGACCTCCTGGGCCCTCCAGTCCAACCCCATTCTGCCAAGAAGCAGGAATATTGCATTCCAATCACCCCTGACAGATGGCCATCCAGCCTCTGCTTAAAAGCTTCCAAAGGTGGTGGAGGCTCCTTCTTTGGAAGCTTTTAAACAGAGGCTGGATGGCCATCTGTCAGGGGTGATTTCAATGCAATATTCCTGCTTCTTGGCAGAATGGGGTTGGACTGGATGGCCCAGGAGGTCTCTTCCAACTCTTTGATTCTATGAGCCTCCAGAACTCTCCGGGGCAGAGAGTTCCACTGCTGAACGGCTCTCACAGTCAGGAAGTTCTATATCATGTTTAGATGGAATCTCCTCTCTTGTAGTTTGAAGCCATTTCTCCATTGTGTCCTAGTCTCCAGGGAAGCAGAAAACAAGCTTGCTCCCTCCTCCTCCCTGTGGCTTCCTCTCACATATTTATACATGGCCATCATGTCTCCTCTCAGCCTTCTCTTCTTCAGGCTAAACATGCCCAGCTCTTTAAGCCGCTCCTCATAGGGCTTGTTCTCCAGACCCTTGATCATTTCAGTCGCCCTTCCTCTGGACACATTCCAGCTTGTCAATATCTCTCTTGAATTGTGGTGCCCAGAATTGGACACAATATTCCAGGTGTGGTCTAACCAAGGCAGAATAGAGCATGGGGAGCATGACTTCCCTAGATCTAAACACTAGGCTCCTATTGATGCAAGTTTCTGTGCAGGAACTTGCCAAGAACTTGCATCTGCTTCCCTGGAGACTAGGACGCAATGGAACAATGGCTTCAAACTACAAGAGAGGAGATTCCATCTGAACATGAGGAAGAACTTCCTGACTGTGAGAGCCGTTCAGCAGTGGAACTCTCTGCCCCAGAGTGTGGTGGAGGCTCCTTCTTTGGAAGCTTTTAAACAGGGGCTGGATGGCCATCTGTCAGGGGTGATTTGAATGCAATATTCCTGCTTCTTGGCAGAATGGGGTTGGACTGGATGGCCCAGGAGGTCTCTTCCAACTCTTTGATTCTATGATTCTATGATCTGCTTCCTTGCAGAGTTTACATTTGGGATCTGTTGTCGACTTTTCAATTCTGGCTCAGATGGCATTTGTTTAAATGGCTTGTTCTTGGGCTGCCAGAATCAGGCTCTCCTTTTTCTCCTTTTTCAAAGTTCTATTTGTGAGCCACAGCCATGTTTTATTATTATTATTATTATTATTATTATTATTATTATTATTATTGAACTATTAAAATGAACAAAATCTGGCTACCAGTATTAAAAAACTCAAAAATTACAGCAGAAAAACAACAGAGGGGAAACAAACAGGCACATGAAATCACTCTCAACAAAAGTCGCCCTAAAGGGCTGAGAATGGCGGTTAATAAATGCATCAAATAAATAAATAAATAAATAAATAAAAGATTCCCCCCAGGCGCTTCCAAGCCATTGAATGCAAATCAAGGTGATCAGCTGAAACATTCACAGCTAGCCCCAGCAAACAAAAGTCCTTTGTCTCACCCTGGTCATTCCACAGATATATAAACCCTTTTTCCTAGTTCCAACAGACCTCATTACCTCTGAGGATGCTTGCCATAGATGCAGGCGAAACGTCAGGAGAAAAATTGCCTCCAGAACATGGCCATATAGCCCGGAAAAACCTACAACAACCCATGGATTCCGGCCATGAAAGCCTTCGACAATACATTATTATTATTATTATTATTATTATTATTATTATTATTATTATTATTTTCCCTTTTTACTCTGCCTATCAGATCTTTCCATTTCGAGTCCCCATTTCGAGTTCCCCATTGGAGATCCATTTTTATATTTTTTCTTTAACTAATCTAATCTTGAAGCATATTCATCGTCTGCTAGATCGCCTTGCTTTGTTTGTGCGGTGACTGACCTTGTGCTTTCTCTTTGGCAGGATGCATCCCAACTTGACCAAAGGCTTTGGCATGATAGGACCCAAAGACTTCTTTCCTCTCTTGGACTTTGCCTTCACGCCCAACAACTCCTTATCGCCCAGGTAGGGCAGCAAACGGGAGAGATGAAGGCACATAGGAGCGTTTTATACCCAAAGGTTGCCTGCCTGCTCCTCAGATGAGGCTGAGAGCTTGGGTGGTGCAGTGACACTTTTGGGGCTGCCTCTTTGCCCAGATGCAGTGGATGGAAAGCCTGCCTTTCCTCCTCCGAGGGTGTCAGAGAGGCTGATGGGTCCTCCTTTCCTCTTTCTGTCTCTCTGCTCAGCCTCCAGGAGCAGCTCCGGCAGCTGTATCCTCGCCTGAAAGTGCTGGCCTTTGGGGCGAACCCGGAGACTACGCTGCACACCTACTTCCCGTCCTTCCTCTCCAGGACGCTCCCCGGCTGCTCTGCTGACATGAAGAAAGAGGTGAGGGATGCAGGGGCATAGTTTTCCTCCAGGCAAGCGGGGCCTGTGTGTCTCAGGCAATTCTTGAGCAGGACTAATCAGTCAAGGCAGGATAGGTGTTTGATTTATAGTTTTCTCAATCATGTCCTCCTTGGTTACACTGCACACTGGACTGAATAATCAACCCATACATAAACCCATACACAGCAGAGTGCTTATCAGTTGTCAGCAGAGTGTAACCACACCGTCCAACCTTGTGCTGCTCATTGTTTAGAAAAAGCCTCTGATTTGATTTTGTTCCAAACTTAGCAGGCTTTTATTCTTGACACATTGCTCTAGATATAAAATATACACACACAGATCAGGATCCCCTGATCCCCTATCAGTCAGTTGCATATACAGCAATATTCTCATGATGTAGATCAGGGGTTCTCAAAATTTTTAAAACAGATGGCCAGGTCACAGTCCCTCAAACTGTTGGACGGCCAGATTATAATTTGAAAAAAGAATGAATGAATTCCCATGCACACTGCACATATCTTATTTGTAGTGTAAAAAACACTTAAAAACAATACAATAATTAAAATGAAGGACAATTCCGAGCACAATTCAAAGTGCTGGTCTTGACATAAAACCCTTTACGGCTCCGGTCCAACGTACCTGTCCGAACGTATCTCCTTCTACGTCCCACCTCGGAGTTTAAGATAGTCTAGGGGAGGCCCTGCTCTCGGCCCCGCCTTTGTCACAAACAAGACTGGCGGGGACGAGGGACAGGGCCTTCTCGGTGGTGGCCCCCCGTCTGTGGAATTTGCTCCCTGGGGAAATTAGGTCATCGTCATCCCTCCTCACCTTTAGAAAAAAGCTTAAAACGTGGCTGTGGGACCAGGCCTTCGGGCAATCAGGTTAAAGGACAATTGATAATGTATATTGACTATGGCATGGAAGGGGATTTGGATAAGTGAAGCGGAGTATTCATTAGTAGATGGCTAGCTAAACAGCCACCAGACGGGCGATAGCTAATCAGAGTGTAAGTATGCTGTTTTAATCTTTATTTATTAATGTTCATGTTTAATTGTTATATTTGTCATTCTGTATTTTATGATGCGGCATTGAATTATTGCCAATTGTAAGTCGCCCTGAGTCCCCCCAGGGGTTGAGAAGGGCGGGGTAAAAATGTTTGAAATAAATAAATAAATGAAATTTTAACAAAAATAAACCTATTAGTATTTCAATGGGAAGTGTGGGCCTGCTTTTGGCTGATGAGATAGGATTGTTGTTGTTGTTGTTGTTGTTGTTGTTGTTGTTGTGTGCTTTCAAATCATTTCAGACTTAGGTTGACCCTGAGTGAGGGCCGGGTAAATTTATTTATTTATTTATTTATTTATTTGATACACTTGTATACCGCTAATATCTCAGCCTAGAACGGCGACTCATTGCGGTTTACAGCAGTTAAAACAATCTACAATTAATAACAAATTCAATAACAAATTACAAATTATTGGGCCACCAATAATAATCCCATATATCTCGAGTTGAAATCGCAATCCAGAATTCGTTGTCCATGTTTCCTGTCCTTAGTCATCAATATTCGAATTGCCACAGATTAGCCGAATGCTTGTTTGAACAGCCATGTTTTGAGTCTCTTCCTAAACACCATCAGCGAAGAGGCTGATCGTACCTCTATAGGGAGGGTGTTCCAAAGCCGGGGGGCCACCACAGAGAAGGCCCTGTCTCTCGTTCCCGCCAGCCGCACTTCTGAAGCTGGAGGGATAGAGAAGGGACTCTCCGGAAGATCTTAGGGTCCTGGTGGGCTGATAGGCTGAGATACGTTCGGATAGATAAGTTGGGCCAGAACCGTTTAGGGCTTTAAAGGCCAATGCCAGCACTTTGAATTGAGCCCGGTAGCATATCGGCAGCCAGTGGAGCTGGTTCAGCAAGGGAGTTGTATGCTCCCTGCGCCCCGCTCCTGTTAGAATCATGGCTGCCGCCCGTTGGACTAACTGGAGCTTCCGCACTGTCTTCAAAGGCAACCCCACGTAGAGAGCGTTGCAGTAATCAAGGCGGGATGTAACCAGAGCGTGGACTACCGTGGCTAAGTCAGACTTCCCAAGGTACGGTCGCAGTTGGCGCACAAGTTTTAACTGTGCGAAGGCTCCCCTGGTCACCGCCGAAACCTGGGGTTCCAGGCTCAGCGATGAATCCAGGATCACCCCCAAACTGCGAACCTGTGTCTTCAGGGGGAGTGCGACCCCGTCTAACACAGGCTGTAACCCTATACCCTGTTCGGCCTTACGACTAACCAGGAGTACCTCTGTCTTGTCTGGATTCAATTTCAATTTGTTCGCCCACCATCCAGACCGTCACAGCGGCCAAGCACCGGTTCAGGACCTCGACCTTGGAGGGCCATAACCAGCCCCCGGCCTTAGTTTGAGGACCCCTGATGTAGTTAAACAGATTCACGAACAACAGATATCAGCAAGAGAGTTCACTTGTCAAGCAAAAGAACACACATTTTCTGCTGCTTTTTATATCCATTGCTTGCCTGTCATCAGCCAGGGACAAAAATGAATGATGCAACCCTTGTCATGAATGTCACATGGCCATGACTCAGCCTGTTCCAGCATGTCCCTTGAGTTTCACATCTGCTCTGGCTGACTTCTCTGGTTGAAGGAGTTTGCAGTGCCTTTCATGTTCCTTGATTCATGTTTAGGCAATGCTGCTGTGTTTGGCAGTCACTATGTAGACGTGTCTGCAGCTTCATGATATACGGTAGACTCCTGCAAAGGTGAGAGCTATGTTCAGCAAAAGGCAAGAGGGATCCTCTCATGGGATACAGGAGTCTACTGTATCCCATGCAGCTGTGGACAAGTCTACATAGGGACCACCAAACACAGCAGCATTGCCCAAACACGAATCAAGGAACATGAAAGGCACGGCAGAGACTGTCAATCAACTGTTGGCTGAAGTACCTAGCTTCGCCTTCAAAACAAAGACTCGCACAGCTTTCTGGTGTCCCCAGCAGAGCAGCTAGCCTTCAAATACAAAAGTCAAGCACACATTCAGCTTTCTAGTGCACTCTAAGACAAGGCTTACCTGAAGCAAGGGAGCAAAGGTAGCTTCTTGCTTCCTCAACTTCTATGGGAACCCAGTTGCCACTTGAGTTCAGCCGCTGGCTTAAATATGTTTCACTATCATCTTTGTATTGTCAAAGGCTTTCATGGCCGGAATCACTGGGTCTTTGTAGGTTTTTTCGGCTATATGGCCATGTTCTAGAGGCATTCTCTCCTGACGTTTGGCCTGCATCTATGGCAAGTATCTCAAGGTAGTGAGCCCTCACAACCTCTGAGGATGCTTGCCATTGGTGCAGGTGAAACGTCAGGAGAGAATTTATTTATTTATTTATTTGGTACACTTGTATACCGCTAATTTCTCAGCCTGGGTCGGCGACTCAACTGCGGTTTACAACAATTAAAACAGTCTCCAATTTAAAAACATATACATATACAATAACAAATTATTGGGCCACCAATAATAATCCCATATATCTCAAGTTGAAATCACAGTCCAAAATTCGTTGTCCATATTTCCTGTCCATAGTCACCGGAATTCGATTGCCACAGATTAGCCGAATGCTTGTTTGAATAACCATGTTTTTAATCTCTTCCTAAACACCATCAGCGAAGAGGCTGATCGTACCTCTATAGGGAGGGTGTTCCAAAGCCGGGGGCCACCACAGAGAAGGCCCTATCTCTCGTTCCCGCCAGCCGCACTTCTGAAGCTGGAGGGATAGAGAGAAGGGACTCTCCGGAAGATCTTAGGGTCCTGGTGGGCTGATAGGCTGAGATACGTTCGAATGCCTCTAGAACATGGCCATATAGCCTGAAAAAACCTACAACAACCCAACTATCATCTTTTCTTCTCTTTTTAAACATTATGCAAAGTTTCTGTATTTCTATGTACACCATCCAAATCTAATGAGGGGGTACTAACACATAAGTTATCCACAGTCTCTTCAGTGTGGAGTGTGTGTTTGTGTGTGTGCATGTATATATCTATATAAATAAAAATGTAATGTTCGTTTGTGGGATTGACAGAACTCAAAAACCACTGGACGAATTGACACCAAATCTGGACACAAGACACCTCTCAGGCCAATGTATGTCCTTCACTCAAAAAAAAAAAAAACCACTGAAAAATACAGCAGAAGGGACTTAAAATGTCCTCCAAAGCTAAATGATGAAAAGCTAAATGACAATACAGAAAAAAGGGAAGAAATAGGGAGGGAAGGGGAGAAAAAAAGGAAGGAAAGAGGTAGGGAAAGAAAAAGGGGGAAGGAAGGAAAGTTATAGAAGGAAGGAAGGTGAGAAGGAAAGAAAAAAGGGAAAGGAAGGAAAGAGGGAGCGAAGGAAGGGGGGAAGATGTAGAGAGAGGGAGGGAAGGAAAGAGAGAAGGAAGACAAGAGAGACAGCAGAAGAGAAAGAAAAAGGGGGAAGGAAGGAAAGAGAGAGAAGGAAGGAAGAAGAGAAGGAAAGATGGGAAGGAAGGAAGGAAAGAGGGAGTGAAGGAAGGAGGGCGGGAAGGTTGGCCACAGCAACGGGTGGCGGGTACAGCTAGTGTGTATATATATGTTTGTGTGTGTGTGTGTGTGTGTATATATATATATATATATAGAATAATAGTAATGTTTCTAGTCACGCATTCATCCTGTTGCCGCAGAGCTGTCTGCGCTGAACTACAGCAAATACTTCCAGGTGGATTGAAGTCTACCTGCTTCCGCCTCTACCTGTTTTTAATTGAATGCTTCTAATTGTTTGAATTGTGTTAATTGTAACTGTGTGTTTTAATGTATTGGCATCTAATGACTGCCTGCTGTAAGCCGTCCTGAATCCCTCTTCGGAGGTAAGAAGGACGGGATAGAAATGCCTGAAATAAATAAATACATAAACAAATGGGATTTGGAGAATGCATGTCAGGACTTGGGCTTATGTCTGTGCCTGCAATGTTCTTGCACCTGGGTTGCAATCCTCTTGGACTATCCCTTGGTTGCACGGAAGCAGCTGTTTCATGCTGTTTGGTGCTTGTTCTGCAGACCCCTGCCCCTAATTCTGCTCTCAATCCTCTGCAGCTGCTGAACTGTTTGACCGAGTGCCTCAATCTCGACCCGCTCAGCTTCAGTGTCTGGAAGCAACTCTACGCCAAGCACCTTTCTCAGTCGAGGTAAGGCTTCGCCACTGCCTTGCCATCTTTTAGAGTCTGCGGTTCATGCAGAACCTTCTAGGACAGGCATGGGCCAACTTTGACCTTCCTCCAGGTGTTTTGGACTTCCAACTTCCATAATTTGGCTGCTAGGAATTGTGGGATTTGAAGTCCAAAACATGATGTCCTTTTCCCTTTGTTTCCACAGCCTGCTCCTGAACCACTACCTGGAAACCTGGGGCCAGACATCCAAAAAGGTGAATTGCCTCCACTCTTTGGATTTTGTGGCAATAGAGGTGCAGCAACCATGGGCGTTAGACTATTGATTAAGAATGATTTCCTGTGTATTGTCGAAGGCTTTCATGGCAGAAATCACTGGATTGTTGCAGGTTTTTCCAGGTTATATGGCCATGTTCTAGAGGCATTTTCTCCTGACATTTTGCCTGCATCTATGGCAAGCATCCTTTGAGGATGCTTGCCATAGATCTAGATGAAACGTCAGGAGAAGATGCCTCTAAAACATGGCCATATAACCCGGAAAAACCTACAACAACCCAATGATTTTCTGTGTTCTCAATCCAGAGAAACGGCATCCTGTCTATAACTGTATTCTGAATTAATAGAAGATGTTTATGAGTAAACAAGATATGTTACCTTTTTAAGGAAGACTTTGTTTTTGTCTCTGAGCGCACATTTTTAAACTGAGAGGTTTCAAGAGAGAGTATATGTTTTGGGAAACTGCAATTTCAACTTCCAGGAAACATTTCAAAACTGCTAGTTAAGTATATGTTTTTGTGCAGTGGCATGTCTTTATCCCTGGCAGTTCAAAGACATGGTTTATCAGTTGAACAGCCGAGCTGCCTGTGAGCCATTACACAAATACTTGTGAACATCACTAAGTTCTTGTGGGTTTTTTCGGGCTATATGGCCATGTTCTAGAGGCATTTTCCTGACGTTTTGCCTTCATCTATGGCAAGCATCCTCTGAGGAACACCTTCGATAATACATGCTTATGTCTATGTTTGATATTTTTATAGTTTTAATGGTTTTTATCTGCAGTTATGTGTTACTGATTTAGATATGTGATATTTTTATATATGTGTGAGGCATTGAATTTGCTAGGTTCCTGTGGGTTTTTTCGGGCTATAGGGCCGAATTTGCCATTTATTATGTTGTAAATTGAATTTGCCATTTATTATGTTGTAAAGCACTTTAAGTTCCCCCAGGAGTGAGAAAAGCGGTCTAGAAATATAGTTAATAAATAATAATAAATCTCTTCCTTGGTTCAAAGGGTGTCTCCCAACCTGATGATTCTGTCCCATTCTTTGTCATTTTTTTTCTCTTTGTAGGTCCGGAAATCTTTACATGAAACGGTTCGCTCGTTCAAAGCCACAAATGATGAACTGGCTCTGAAGGGATCCAACAATGCTCAGGACGTCTCCGCTTGCCAAACTGCCTGCGAGGTGCGTTCCTCTGCCAGGAAGGGGCTCCGGGTTTGGGAAGGCCGCCGGGCTCCTCTTGGTAAAGGCAACCCGTCTCCTTTGTTGCCCGTTTCCTTCCTCGTAGAGCCTGCTGCTCAAGATGAAAACCAGTCGGTTTCCTTGGCCCCGGCTGGCCTTGGTCCTCCTCGTCTTCGCTGGCTGCTTCCTGATGCACGACGTGAGGACCCACGGCTCCTTCCAAGGTGAGGCGAGGGGACAACTTCCCTGGGTCATAAATACTTTTCAAACTACAAAAGGCATTTAAAAGGTTCTTTTACTTCATTTGCAATGAGACAGAGTATTAGGCACTTTGCAAAGAAAGAAGGTAGGCACACAGACTCTAGCTACATAGAGTACACAAACATTCACACATAGAATCATAGAATCAAAGAGTTGGAAGAGACCTCATGGGCCATCCAGTCCAACCCCATTCTGCCAAGAAGCAGGAATATTGCATTCAAATCACCCCTGACAGATGGCCATCCAGCCTCTGTTTAAAAGCTTCCAAAGAAGGAGCCTCCACCACACTCCGGGGCAGAGAGTTCCACTGCTGAACGGCTCTCACATCAGGAAGTTCTTCCTCATGTTCAGATGGAATCTCCTCTCTTGTAGTTTGAAGCCATTGTTCCATTGCGTCCTAGTCTCCAGGGAAGCAGAAAACAAGCTTGCTCCCTCCTCCCTGTGGCTTCCTCTCACATATTTATACATGGCTATCATGTCTCCTCTCAGCCTTCTCTTCTTCAGGCTAAACATGCCCAGCTCCTTAAGCCGCTCCTCATAGGGCTTGTTCTCCAGACCCTTGATCCTTTTAGTCGCCCTCCTCTGGACACATTCCAGCTTGTCAATATCTCTCTTGAATTGTGGTGCCCAGAATTGGACACAATATTCCAGGTGTGGTCTAACCAAAGCGGAATAGAGGGGTAGCATGACTTCCCTAGATCGAGACACTATGCTCCTCTTGATGCAGGCCAAAATCCCATTGGCTTTTTTGCCGCCACATCACATTGTTGGCTCATGTTTAACTTGTTGTCCACGAGGACTCCAAGATCTTTTTCACACGTACTCTCTCAAGCCAGGCCTCATCGTCCCCCATTCTGTATCTTTGCATTTCGTTCTTCCTGCCTAAGTGGAGTACCTTGCATTTGTCACTGTTGAACTTCATTTTGTTAGTTTTGGCCCATCTTTCTAATCTGTCAAGATCGTTTTGAATACATGCATATAAACATTCACTTATCATGCATGCATTACCATCTCTTCTTCCTTCTCCTGGAAAAGAGACCCTGAAGGAGGCCTGATTGCATTCCAAGCAAATCTGCCATTCTGCAAATACAGTATTTTTCTCTGTCCCTTGGAGAAGATGGCAGGTGGACCAGATTCCTTGGTCTGCCACAATTTTGCAATACAGTGTTCTTGCCGCAATTACTAAGTAATTAAAGAGAATTTCTTTGTCTTTATCTTCCACCACGTCCAGCATTCGTAGCAGGAAATATTCAGGTTCTTTCCCAATCTTTATATTTAGTATTTTTTGTATGTCAATATGAATTTCTGTCCAAAACTCTTTTGCTTCTGGACAAGACCACCATAAATGGAAAAAGGTCCCTGTTTGTTGTATACATTTCCAGCACTTATCTGAAGCAATTTTGTGTAACATTTTGAAATTTTGTGTGGAGTTATATACCACCTATAGATCATTTTCATCCAATTTTCCTTTAATTCATAGCCATAAGTATATTTGATCTTTTGGTTCCAATTTTTCCTACTTTTTTAATTTTATTGAGTGTCCTACATTGGAGGCCCATTTGACTATACAATCCCTAATTTGTTCAGTTTTGGTGGTCCATTCTAATAACTTTTTATAGATCTTGGGTATCAGTTTGTTTTCTGATTTCATTATCTTATTCCAAAAGGAATTTCCCTTGTCAAAGCCATGTTTATTATCCAATTTAAAGAATTCTTTGATTTGCAGTTTCTCAAGTCGCTCCTGACACAAGAAAAAATTCAAACCACCTATCACACATTCATCACACTTGGAGGTTGGGGGTAGGGTGGCAGACCTGTCTCAGTTGTTGTATCTGGAACCCCTTCCTGAGGGAGACTATCTGTCTTTTCCAGCCTCTGCCTCTGCTCGGTTCCTCCGCTCCTCCGGCATCCTATCTGCATCCCAGCAAGCCTGGAGCAAGGTGTCCCATGCCTCTGCGGGAAGCTACAGGTCAGTAGAACCCCCCCCCCCCCCCCCCCCGCATTTCATGCAGTGCCAGCGCTTTGCCTTTGGGGAGCATGTTGGGAAGGGGAGCTCGTGCCCCACAGGACGGGATCAGGATCCAAAATGACCTTCAGATTGGAGAGCTGATGGACCAAAATGAACACAATGCCTTTTGACAGAAAGAAATGTATGAGAAGACACTAAGGCAGAAAAAAAATGAAATGTGTAGATATAGGTTAGAAATGTTCCATGTGAAAGGGATTATGGAGTCTTAGTGGACCACAAGCTGAACATGAGACAACTGTGATGTGGCAACTAAAAAAGCCAGCGTGACTCTAGGCTGCATCAGTGGGAGTATCGTGTCAAGACCAGGCATGGGCCAACTTGGGCCCTCCCTCCAGGTGTTTTGGACTTCAACTCCCACAATTCCAAACAGCCAGAATTATTTGGGGAACTATCTAGTTGAAGGCACAGTGGAACATCCTCGTGTTTAGTTCTTTCTGGAAGGTGGACAAGGTGGGTGCCAGTCTAATCTACCCGGGGAGAGAGTTCCATAGCTGGGGGGCCACCACAGAGAAGGCCCTCTCCATCGTCCCAACCAACCGTGTTTGTGACGGGGGTGGGAGCGAGAGAAGGGCCTCCACAGAAGATCTTAGAGATTGTGTAGATTCATAGGGGACAATGCTGTCAGTAACATCAGCAGCACAGCAAGGCAGGAACAGATCAATCACAGCCACCTAGGCTATAAACAACTTTATTTTACAGCTATATACATTAGAAGCTACTTAACACTCAGCACATTGTAAAATTGCTTCTTTACCGTCCGATCATAACATCGCGAACGCTTTAACTATTATCAGCACTAGTCCACACCTCTTGCATTCCAGAGTGATGTATGACTTTGCGCCCATTTGTTCTACACACTTGATTTATGACCTCTCTAGGAATGCCGTTATTATTATTATTACCTGCACCTTGAATTGGGACCGGAAACTTATTGGCAGCCAATGGAACTAACTGTTTGACCAGGAGGGTTGACCGCTCCCTGTAGTTCGCTCCAGTTATTTATTTATTTGTTTGCATTATTTCTACCCTGCTGATATCAGCCCAGAGGCGACTCAGAGCGGCGTACACAATCGGCACAATTCGATGCCATAAAAATACATACATTGATAAGCAAAAGAACCATTATAGTGCAATTAGACATAAGACAGTGCATAATAACAATATTAAAAGCTAAAAACGATATCCTCTCATTCAAGTCCTCAACCTGGCCGCTGATCCTTGCACTAGTTGCAGCTTCTGGGTTGTCTTCAAGGGCAGCCCCACATAGTGCATTGTAGTAATCCAACCTGGAGGCAACTAAGGCGTGGACCACCATGGTCAAGTGAGACTTTTCGTGGTATGGTCGCAGCTGGCGCACAGTTGCACAAAGGCCCTCCCAGCCACGGCCAACACTTGAGCATCAAGCGTTAGCGCCGAGTTTTGTGATGTTTTCCAACACTGTGGCTCTGTGCTCCTCCCCAAAGGCATTGTGGCGGGGTGCTTCTTTTCCCTTGGCCCCACATTCTTCATCCTGCCCTTCTTTCTTCAGCTGGCTCGAAGCCAACGTGCCTGTCTACTATTCTCGCGTGGCCACTGCCCTGGGACCCAACCTGGAGCTGGCCTGGGCCAAGACGAACGCGACGGCCACCTACATCTCCGGGAAGTGCTCAGCTCAGTTGGCCTGGCTCAGGGACCATCTCCCGGCATTCATAGAATGGGTGAGCATCCATCCGGGGGAGAGGGAGCCTCCCTTCCACGTGGCAGGGAGAGTTAGGGCGGCGGGCCCTGTGCGTGGGAGTGAGGATGTCCAGTTGTGTCACACAGCAACAATCAGTCCACACAGGATGGCTGTCATGAATACTTATGAAACTTAAATTTTATTTATTTATTGACAACATTTATATGCCGCCTTTCTCACCCCGAAAGGGACTCAGAGCGGCTTACAAGTAAAAAGTAAATACACTATATTATTATTATTATCATCATCATCATAGCACAATATTAATATTATATATTACATTGTACTATAACTTTATACTGTAGTATTATTAGCAATATTACATTTAATATAAAATATATAATTATAATATCATTTTATTATTAGTAGTAGTATATTGTTTTGGAGCCCCCGGTGGCGCAGTGGGTTAAAGCACTGAGCTGCTGAGCTTGTTGATCGAAAGGTCGCAGGTTCGATTCCGGGGAGCGGTGTGAGCTTCCGCTGTCAGCCCTAGCTTCTGCCAACCTAGCAGTTCGAAAACATGCAAATGTGAGTAGATCAATAGGTACCGCTCCGGCAGGAAGGTAACGGCGCTCCATGCAGTCATGCCGGCCACATGACCTTGGAGGTGTCTACGGACAACGCTGGCTCTTCGGCTTAGAAATGGAGATGAGCACCACACCCCAGAGTCAGACATGACTGGACTTAATGTCAGGGGACAACCTTTACCTTTACCTAGTATATTGTCCAATCTCGATAAAATAGTAAAGAGTAGAGACATCAGACTGGCAACAAAGATCCATTGCCTAGTCAAAGCCATGGTATTCCCTGTAGTCACCTACGGATGTGAGAGCTGGACCTTAGGGAAGGGCTGAGCGAAGGAAGATCGATGCTTTTGAGCTGCCCTGGTCTTCCCTGTAGTCACCTACGGATGTGAGAGCTGGACCTTAGGGAAGGCTGAGCGCAGGAAGATCGATGCTTTTGAGCTGTGGTGTTGGAGGAAAGTTCTGAGAGTGCCTTGGACTGCGAGAAGATCCAACCAGTCCATCCTCCAGGAAATAAAGCCCGACTGCTCACTGGAGGGAAAGATACTAGAGACAAAGTTGAAGTACTTTGGCCACATCATGAGAAGACAGGAAAGCTTAGAGAAGACAATTATGCTGGGGGAAATGGAAGGAAAAAGGAAGAGGGGCAGACCAAGGGCAAGATGGATGGATGGCATCCTTGAAGTGACTGGATTGACCTTGAAGGAGCTGGTGGTTGTAACGGCCGACAGGGAGCTCTGGCGTGGGCTGGTCCATGAGGTCACGAAGAGTCGGAGACGACTGAACGAATGAACAACAACAAGTATATTGTTTTACATTATAATATTATCAATATTATATGTATATACAATATATTATATTATGTTATACTATACTATACTATATTATATTATATTCACGGTGCAGGAGACAAGATGGAACTGCCTTCCTGGCTCCTCTCTTCACTTTGATCTCAGAACATTGATTAGCATTGAATGGCCTTGCAGCTTCAAAGTCTGGCTGCTTCCTACCTGGGGTCATTTTTTGTTGGGAGGTGTTAGCTGGCCCTCATTGTTTCCTGTCCAGAATTCCCCTGTTTCACCTTGTCCATAATGTCATTTCGAGCCTCAATTTTCTTAGGATGGTCTCTTCAACTTGCCAGACCTTAATAGGCCCTTAGCCAGTCCCTAATCGCACAATTCCATTCAATCCACACATCACGACACTCACGTCCACATGGCAGGGATGGTTAGGGTGACGGGGTTTGTGTGTGGAAGTGGGGAGGTGCAGTTGTACCACACAGAGGGTTGTCCTAGACAACAGAGTCAGTCCAGACAGGATGATAAGGGCTTTGCAGCACCCAGGAGGTTTTCTTCCCAAATGCTTGCACAAACAGGCCACTGTTGATCTGATAGTGTAGTATTACCTTCTCCAAGAGCTTACATTACTGCTGAGTGGCATAGCATTGTGTTGCCTGACCTGCTCCCTGCCAGCTGCCAGGGTTACTGGTGCCACATTTATGGCCCTGGGGCCTCCCAAGACTTGGGTTTTGTTAGAACATGGGTTTAAATGAAGTTCTTACTTAGGCAATCCCTCGTTCTCTGAGTAGGATGGTCTTCCAGGTGCAGTGTGCAGTGTGCGGTGGGTCCGTAGGTGACTGTGGAGCCCTGTTCTTGATCTGCATCTTCTCTTGCAGTGAGGGCATTGATTTCCAGGTGAAAGGCAGCCCCTGTCGGGGTTGGCTTGACGTGCCTTCCTCTTGGCACATTTCTCTCTTTTGCCCTCCATTCGTGCCTCTTCAAATTCTGCAGCACTGCTGGTCACAGCTGACCTCCAGCTGGGGCGCTCAAGGGCCAGGGCTTCCCAGTTCTCAGAGTTTTTAAGGTTGGCTTTGGGCCCATCTTTAAATCTCTTTTTCCTGCCCACCAACATTGCATTTTTTGTTCTTGAGTTTGGAGTAGAGCAACTGCTTTGGGAGACGGTGGTCGGGCATCCGGATAACGTGGCTGGTCTAGCGGAGTTGATAGCGGAGGACCATCGCTTCAGTGCTGGTGGTCTTTGCTTCTCCCAGCACGCTGACATTTGTCCGCTTGCCTTCCCAAGAGATTTGCAGGATTTTCTGGAGGCAGCGCTGATGGAATTGTTCCAGGAGTTGCATGTGATGTCTGTAGACAGTCCACATTTCGCAGGCATAGAGCAGGGTTGGGAGGACAATTGCTTTATCAACAAGCCCCTTGGTCTCCCTACGGATGTCCCGGTCCTCAAACACTCTCTGCTTCATTCGGAAAAGTGCTGCACTCGCAGAGCTCAGGCGGTGTTATATTTCAGTGTCAATGTTGACATCTGTAGACAGTCCATGTTTCGCAGTTGTATAGCAGGGTTGGGAGGACAATAGCTTTATAAACAAGCACCTGGTCTCCCAACGGATGTCCCGGTCCTCAAACACTCTCTGCTTCATTCAGAAAAATGCTGCATTCGCAGAGCTCAGGCTTTTAATTCGCCCGAGCTCTGCTTTAAATGAAGTGAAATAATATTTGTAATAGTTAAAACTGTGGTGTAGCAATGCAATGTAAGAGTTAAATGCATAGAGCTGTGCTTGATTCCTAGAGCGTAACTTTGGAGTATTCTGGTAGTGTTTACATTCCACAGAAATCAGATAGCCGTGTGGTTCCAGCTTCCAGTGATGTACAGCTAAGGGAATGGACGTATTTTATTCTGCTCCTGTAAATAGTGTATATTGCATAAAAAGATAAGAGCCGCTTCAGGCTTTGGAGCTAACTGAGGTAGCACATTTCATTATTTGCTTTTGTGCCTTTGAGCAGACACTCAGAGGTCAATAAATCAACAGGTTTGGGACCCCCAGAGAGGAGGGGCAGAAACCCAGTTGCTAGGCCTCCTTGAGTGTGTTGCAGGCAAGGAGAGGCGGGTAATAAATTGATTGTTATTATTGTGATTATTGCTATTTTATGGCCCCATTGGACATGTAAGATTTATGCCTGTACACCTGTTGTAAGGTTATATATGCCCTTGTGGCTGTGTGGTTTGCAGCTGCTGTTGGTTTCCTTGGCTCAGAACAATGGCTGCAGGTGGGCCTGTCCTGTGGCAGGTGTTGTTGAGTCCCTATTGCACCCTGAGCCATCCCCAGGGCTCTTTGCGGCTACTTGCTGGTGCTAGAGGTTGACCTGCTGCTTTTTCCTTTTCTCCTTTGCCAGCTCCAGACCCACATTCCAGACGCCGTACTGCAAGGAGCCGAGTACCTCAAGGAGCTTTTGCTCTTCCTCATGCGGAACTGTTTCCTGCCGGCCGTGGACTACGTGACCACGTCCCTGGAGGGACTCTGGCAACGCTGGGTGGCCTCTTGCAAGTGAGTAGTGCCTTTGTCTTTGCCAAGAAGCAGAGAATATGTCTGGGGCAGGGGCTCAGGAGGCAGCTTGTGTGGCGAGGGGAGGGTAGGAGGTGAGGCAGTGAGCAGACCCCAAGGCTAAGCACAGCCACTGAAAATGAAGCATGGAGGCAGAGCGGAGGGGCTGGAGCTGTGAGATGGCAGTGCCTGGAGCAATCTTTTGCTGAGAGGTGATTAGATGTCCTTGTTTGTTTCCTCTCTGTTGTTTTGCTGTTTTAATTTTAGAGTTGTTTAATACTGGTAGCCAGATTTTGTTCATTTTCATGGTTTCCTCCTTTCTGTTGAAATTGCCCACATGCTTGTGGATTTCAGTGGCTTCTCTGTGTAGTCTGACATGGTGGTTGTTAAAATTAAAAGAGCAAAACAGCAGAGGGAAAACAATCAGGGACATCTAATCACCTAGAATCCTAGAATCAAAGAGTTGGAAGAGACCTCCTGGGCCCTCATCCAGTCCAACCTCATTCTGCCAAGAAGCAGGAATGTTGCATTCAAATCACCCCTGACAGATGGCCATCCAGCCTCTGTTTCAAAGCTTCCAAAGAAGGAGCCTCCACCACACTCCCTCCGGGGCAGAGAGTTCCACTGCTGAACGGCTCTCACAGTCAGGAAGTTCTTCCTCGTGTTCAGATGGAATCTCCTCTCTTGTAGTTTGAAGCCATTGTTCCATTGTGGCCTAGTCTCCAGGGAAGCAGAAAACAAGCTTGCTCCCTCCTCCTCCCTGTGGCTTCCTCTCACATATTTATGCATGGCTATCATATCTCCTCTCAGCCTTCTCTTCTTCAGGCTAAACATGCCCAGCTCCTTAAGCCGCTCCTCATAGGGCTTGTTCTCCAGACCCTTGATCATTTTAGCCACCCTCCTCTGGACACATTCCAGCTTGTCCAACAAAAGATTGCTCCAGGCACTGCCAGGCCATCAAATGCTAATCAAGATGGTCAGCTGAAACATTCCCACCTAGCTCCAGCAGACAAGAGTCCTTTGTCCCACCCTGGTCATTCCACAGATATATAAACCCTTTTTCCTAGTTCCAACAGACCTCACTACCTCTGAGGATGCTTGCCATAGATGCAGGCGAAACGTCAGGCGAGAATGCCTCTAGAACATGGCCATATAGCCCGAAAAACCTACAACAAACCTACAACAGTTATACTCCACCAGGTGTGGCCCAAACTGCTAGCTGACCTACATTACCAGCTGCACATAATAATTAACATCATAAGGTTTTTCTTTAACACACACTTGATCCTGCTACGACTTACTGTAACAAGATAAAGCCCCAGTTGCTTTCTCCTAGCACAGTGGTTCTCAACCTACCTAATGTCGCGACCCCTTAATACAGTTCCTTATGTTGTGGCGACCCCCAACCATAACATTATTTTTGTTGCTTCTTCTGAACTGTAATTTTGATATGGTTCTGAATCGTAATGTGAATATCTGATATGCAGGATGGATTTTTATTCACTGGACCAAATTTGGCCCAAATACCCGATACGCCCACATTTGAATACTGGTGGGGTTGGAGGAGATTGATGTTGTCATTTGGGAGTTGTAGTTGCTGGGATTTATAGTTCTCCTACAATCAGAGAGCTTTCTGCACTCCACCAGCAATGGAATTGAATCAGACCTGGCCACACAGAAATCCCATGACCAATAGAAAATGCTAGAATGTCTTGGTGGGCACTGACCTTGAGTTTGGGAGTTGTAGTTCACCTACATGCAGAGAGCACTGTGGACTCAAACAACGATCAGTCTGGACCAAACTCGGTATGAACACTCAATATGTCCAAATGTGGACTCTGGTGGAGTTTGGGGAACATTGACCTTGACATTTGGGAATTGTAGTTGCTGGGATTTATAGTTCACCTACAATCAAAGAGCATTCTGCACCCCACCAATGATGGAATTGAACCAAACTTGGCACACAGATCTCCCATGACCAACAGAAAATACTGGAAGGGTTTGGTGGGCATTTGTTTGGGAGTTGTAGTTCACCTACATGCAGAGAGCACTGTGGACTCAAACAACGATCAGTCTGGACCAAACTCGGTATGAACACTCAATATGTCCAAATGTGGACTCTGGTGGAGTTTGGGGGAAAATAGACCTTGACATTTGGGAATTGTAGTTGCTGGGATTTATAGTTCTCCTACAATCAGAGAGCTTTCTGCACTCCACCAGCAATGGAATTGAATCAGACCTGGCCACACAGAAATCCCATGACCAATAGAAAATGCTAGAATGTCTTGGTGGGCACTGACCTTGAGTTTGGGAGTTGTTGAATCAGACCTGGCCACACAGAAATCCCATGACCAATAGAAAATGCTAGAATGTCTTGGTGGGCACTGACCTTGAGTTTGGGAGTTGTAGTTCACCTACATGCAGAGAGCACTGTGGACTCAAACAACGATCAGTCTGGACCAAACTCGGTATGAACACTCAATATGTCCAAATGTGGACTCTGGTGGAGTTTGGGGGAAAATAGACCTTGACATTTGGGAGTTGTAGTTGCTGGGATTTATAGTTCACCTACAATCAAAGAGCATTCTGAACCCCACCAATGATAGAATTGGGCCAAACTTCCCACACAGAACCCCCATGACCAACAGAAAATATTGTATATTCTGAAGGTCTTTGGGGACCCCTCTGACAACCCCTCATGACCCCCCCCCAGGGGTCCTGACCCCCAGGTTGAGAAACACTGTCCTAGCATCTGGTTCTGTTGGCTGCTGACCTTTCCCCCTTCTCTTCTCCTTCCTAGGGGTGAAGGCTCGTGGAACTGCCTAAGGGACCAACTGACCAACCTCACCTTTTCCTCCTGGACGTTCCTGCAGGACACCACGGTGGCCATCAAGGACTGGGCCTTGGCCATCATCTCAGGCCACTAGCACTGGCACTGGGCCTCAGGAACGGAGTGGGAAGTGTGGCTCAGGACATCTCTGAGCACAGGAAGGCGAGGCAGTGCCACCACGGACCCCCTGCTGCAGCCCGTTGTGTGGGCCAGGCTCCTTTTCACTCAGGCCTTGTCGTCTCACCTGCTGCCCAACTTCGACATCGTTGTGCCACAGGTTTGGAGGCTCTTCCTGCAAATGGAAAACTTCCCCCCGGTCTCTCTGCCGCCTTCTATGCTGCCTTTGACTTCTTCTGGACCAAATGCTACAGCCAACTTGGGCCCTTCCTCCAGCCGTTTTGGACTTCAACTCCTACCGGCTGTTAGGAATTGTGGGAGTTGAAGTCCAAAACACCTGGAGGGAGGGCCCAAGTTGGCCCATGCCTGCTCTACATTCTGAGTTAGCAATTAGGTAAAAGAGAGGAGGATTAAGGGGGCTCATTGGGGTCTCCTTTTCAAATGGGGCGAGGTGCAAAAGGAAGGCAGGCGGGCCACTGCGAGAGAGGCAAATCCAGGAGGGCTGCCTTGGAGGAAAAGCATCGTGATGCTCAACACACCAAGGGGGAGATGGTTGTGGGTTGTGTACCTTGGAAGAAGGAAGCCTCTTTCTGTCCTGCCTGCGCTGGTCCCCTCCTGCGAACAGCCCCCCTTCCTTGGTCCCCAGAGCGGCCCCTTCTTGCCAAGTGGAATAAAGGACAATAATTTTCATTACACGGCCTCCATTCAGAGTCTGCATTTGTGCCGCCGGCATCATCCTCATTATGGGTCTGCTGCCCCACAGCTTTGCCACTGTTATGAAAGCCTAGAAATCCCTCAGGGCCACTGTTACGAAATCATGTATTTTCACAAAGCCTTGAGACTTCCCTGCCAAAGAAGGCTGGTGCCTCACCAAACTATCGTTATTTATTTACTAGCCGTCCGCTGCCACGCGTTGCTGTGGCCCAGTCTGAGTATATGTGTTTTGTATGTGTATATATGTGTGTTCACATCTGTGTGTGTGTGTGTGTGTTGGGGGGGGGGGGGGTGTTTGCGCATGCGTTGTAATGTATTTTTTGGTTTTTTGCTTTTTAAATCCCTTCCGCTGTGTTTTTCAGTGTTTTATAGACTAATCTGATCTCTTTTTTCAATAGAGTTACAAGCTGGGTAGATGCGGGGAATGCCGTGGATGTAGCGTACCTGGATTTCAGGAAGGCCTTCTTTGACAAGGTCCCCATGACCTTCTGGCAAGGAAACTAGTCCAATGTGGGCTAGGCAAAACTACGGTGAGGTGGATCTGTAATTGGTTAATTGGACGGACCCAGAGGGTGCTCACCAATGCTTCCTCTTCATCTTGGAAAGAAGTGACGAGCGGAGTGCCGCAGGGTTCCGTCCTGGGCCCGGTCCTGTTCAACATCTTTATTAATGACTTAGATGAAGGGTTGGAAGGCAGGATCATCAAGTTTGCAGACGACACCAAATTGGGAGGGATAGCCAATACTCCAGAGGACAGGAGCAGGATTCAAAACGATCTTGACAGATTAGAGAGATGGGCCAAAACTAACAAAATGAAGTTCACAGTGACAAATGCAAGATACTCCACTTTGGCAGAAAAAATGAAATGCAAAGATACAGAAGGGGGACGCCTGGCTCGAGAGCAGTACGTGTGAAAAAGATCTTGGAGTCCTCGTGGACAACAAGTTAAACATGAGCCAACAATGTGATGTGGCGCAAAAAAAGCCAATGGGATTTTGGCCTGCATCAATAGGAGCATAGTGTCTAGATCTAAGGAAGTAATGCTACCCCTCTATTCTGCTTTGGTTAGACCACATCTGGAATATTGTGTCCAATTCTGGGCACCACAATTCAAGAGAGATATTGATAAGCTGGAATGTGTCCAGAGGAGGGCGACTAAAATGATCAAGGGTCTGGAGAACAAGCCCTATGAGGAGCGGCTTAGGGAACTGGGCATGTTTAGCCTGAAGAAGAGAAGGCTGAGAGGAGATATGAGAGCCATGTATAAATATGTGAGAGGAAGCCACAGGGAGGAGGAGGAGCAAGCTTGTTTTCTGCTTCCCTGGAGACTAGGACGCAATGGAACAATGGCTTCAAACTACAAGAGAGGAGATTCCATCTGAACATGAGGAAGAACTTCCTGACTGGGAGAGCCGTTCAGCAGTGGAACTCTCTGCCCCGGAGTGTGGTGGAGGCTCCTTCTTTGGAAGCTTTTAAGCAGAGGCTGGATGGCCATCTGTCAGGGGTGATTTGAATGCAACATTCCTGCTTCTTGGCAGAATGGGGTTGGACTGGATGGCCCATGAGGTCTCTTCCAACTCTTTGAGTCTATGATTCTCTCCTTCCTTCCTTTCCTCTTTATTTCCTTCCTTCGTTCTTTCCCTACCACCTTCTCTCTTTCGTTCCTTCTCCTGAGAAGCACCTGAGCATGTGCAGAGTGCATTCTATGTCCCAAACTCACATTGCGGTGCTGATAAGGGGTGCATTGCTCAAACAACAAGGTGACATCACTTGTTTGAGATTGTAGATTGAACAAGGGGTGTGTGTGTGTGTGTGTGTGTATGTGATTTTGGTTTGTTGCCAGGCGTTATGCTAGACTGAGAAAATTTGTGAACGGAAGCCAGGGCTTTGGTTTGGTTGGAGTTGTAGTTCACCTCCATCCAGAGAGCACTGTGGACTCAAACAATGATGGATCTGGACCAAACTTGGCATGAATACTCAATAGGCCCAAATGTGGACACTGGTGGAGTTTGCGGAAAATAGACATTGGCATTTGGAAGTTGTAATTGGCTGGGATTTGTAGTTTACCTACAATCAAAGAGCATTATGAACTCTACCAATGATAGAATTGGGCCAAACTTGGCTCACAGAACTCCCGTGACCAACAGGAAATCCTGGAAGTGTTTGGTAGGCATTGACCTTGAGTTTGGGAGTTGTAGTTCACCTACATCCAGAGAGTACTGTGGGTTCAAACAATGATAGATCTGGACCAAACTTGGCACGAAGACTCAATAGGCCCAAATATGAACACAGATGGAGTTTGGGGGAAATAGACCTTGACATTTGGGAGCTGTAGTTGCTGGGATTTATAGTTCACCTGCAATGAAAGAGCATTCAGGTGGGAGTTGTAGTTCCTGAGATTGGTATTTCACCTACAATCAAGGAGAATTCCAAACTCCACCAATGATGGAATTGAACCAAACTTAGCACACAGAACTCCTGCGACAAAGAAAAAATCCTGGATGGGTTTGGTGGGCATTAACCTTGAGTTTGGGAGTTGTAGTTCACCTATATCCAGAGAGCACTGAGGACTCAAACAATGATGGATCTGGACCAAACTTAGCACGAATACTTCATATGCCCAAATGTAAACAGTGGTGGAGTTTGGGGAAAAATAGACCTTGACATTTGCTGGGATTTATAGTTCACCTACAATCAAAGAACATTTTGAACGCTGCCAACGATGGAATTGGACCAAACTTGGCACACAGAACCCCCATGACACACAGAAAATACTGGAAGGGTTTGAGGGGACTGACTCAACATAATGGGAGTTGTAGTTTACCCTATAGCCAGAGAGCACACTGAACATGATGCATTTACAGCAGAGTTGCCCAATATGACAAAGTTTAAGCATTGACTGAGTTTCAGGGAATTAACCTGGCATGATGGGAGTTGTAGTTCACCCACAACCTATGCATTTTGGAAAGTAAACAAGTCTCAGCACCTAAGGCATGTTTTATGCGCTCCGGCCCCGCCCACTAAGGAAAGCCCCGCCCACCGCGGTTTCCTAGGGAACGCCTCCTCCTTTTGCTGCCTCCCGTCGCCATGACAACCCAACGGCCGCGTGGCCCTGCTCCGGCCAATGGCGAGGCGCGTTGCTCGGGGAGCGGGCCAATGGCGAGGCGGGCGAGGCCCAGCCAACCAGCGGCGCGCTTGCTGTTGCCGGGGCAGCCGGGGCGAAGGCAGCGGAGACGGAGACGGAGACGGAGGAGGAAGGAGGTGGGTCCGCGGCCCGGGTCGCCTCTTTCGGGGGGGAAAAGGGTGAGGGGATATGCAAATCTTATGCAAATCGAGGCGGCGAGGGGAGGGGCCGGCGCGCGAGGCCACGCCCCTTGCCTTCCCCTCTTTCCCCCTCCGAGAGGGGGCCGTCCCTCTTCAGGCCCTGCCGGGAGGGCCCTCTGCGCATGTGCGGGGCGCCCCCCCTTCTTCTTAAAGGGACGCCACACCCCTTGACGGCCGGGGGGGGGGGCCTGTTGTGCCTTCTCCTTTCCTTGGTGTTCTTGCTCCTAGGGCTGTGGGAGACCCCCAAAGGCCATCCAGACACCCCCCCTTCGTTCTGCTGAGGCTGAGAACGTGTGACACACATCTGTTGTTGTTATTATTGTATTTATTTATACCCAGCTTCATCTCCCCCGCAGAAAACTCAAAGCAGCTTCACATAAAACCATTATATATATACTAGCTGTCCCCTGCCACGCATTGCTGTGGCCCAGTCTGTGTATATGTCTTTTGTGTGCATATATGTGTGTGTATATATTTGTGTATAAGTATATATATATGTGTGTGTGTGTTTACGTGTAGAGATATATATGTGTGTGTGTGTGGTTTTGGCTTTTAAAGTCTCTTTTGCTATGTTTTTCAATTGAATTGAATCCAGACAAGACAGAGGTACTCCTGGCCAGTCGTAAGGCCGAACAGGGTATAGGGTTACAGCCTGTGCTGGATGGGGTCGCACTCCCCCTGAAGACGCAGGTTCGCAGCTTGGGTGTGATCCTGGATTCATCGCTGAGCCTGGATCCCCAGGTTTCAGCGGTGACCAGGGGAGCATTTGCACAGCTTGCCGTACCTTGGGAAGTCTGACTTGGCCACGGTAGTCCACGCTCTGGTTACATCCCGTTTAGACTACTGCAACGTTCTCTACGTGGGGTTGCCTTTGAAGACAGCTCGGAAGCTCCAACTAGTCCAACGCTCGGCAGCCAGGACTGAACAGGAGCGGCACTCACGGAGCATACAACTCCTCTGTTGCGCCAACTCCACTGGCTACCGATCTGCTACCGGGCTCAATTCAAAGTGCTGGCGTTGGCCTTTAAAGCCCTAAACGGTTCTGGCCCAAGCTACCTATCCGACCGCATCTCTGCCTATGAACCCACCAGGACTTTGAGATCTTCCGGGGAGGCCCTGCTCTCGATCCCGCCTGCTTCTCAAGCACGGCTGGCGGGGACGAGAGATAGGGCCTTCTCGGTGGTGGCCCCTCGGCTGTGGAACGCCCTTCCCACAGATATTAGACTAGCACCATCTCTTATGGTCTTCCGCAAAAAAGTAAAGACCTGGCTATTTGAACAGGCGTTCGGATAAACAGTGCAATGAATACGATGAATATAGGTAAACGGAATTACGGATGACGAATTGGATCACGATTCTAGTTACGAGACGTTAATGTGTTGTCTATTGATGTGTCATTACTTTGTATATTATGCTGTTAATGGTTCTTTAAATATTGTATGTTGTTAGGATTGACTTTTTGCTCTTGTTGTGAACCGCGTTGTCGCCTATGGGTAACTGAAACTGCGGTATACAAGCAAAGTAAATAAATATATGTGTGTGTATATCAGGGGTTCTCAACCTTTTTCATGCTGCAACCCCTTAATACAATTCCTCATGTTGTGGTGACCCCCAACCATAAAATTATTTTCCTTCCTACTTCATAACTGTCATTTTGCTACTGTTATCAATCGTAATGTAAATATCTGATACGCAGGATGTATTTTCATTCACTAGACCAAATTTGGCACAAATACCCGATACGTCCAAATTTGAATACTGGTGGGATGGGGGTTGATTTAGTAATTTGGGAGTTGTGGTTGCTGGGATTTGTAGTTCACCTGCAATCAAAGAGCATTCTGAACTCTACCAACAATGGAATTGAACCAAACTTGGCACACAGAACTCCCATGGCAAACAGAAAATATTGGAAGGGTTTGGTGGGCATTGACCTTGAGTTTTGGAGTTGTAGTTCACCTACCTTCAGAGAGCACTGTGGACTCAAACCAGGATGGATCTGGACCAAACTTGGCACGAATATTCAACATGCCCAAATGTGAACACTGGTGGAGTTTGGGGAAAATAGTCCTTGAGATTTTGGGAGTTGTAGTTGCTGGGATTTGTAGTTCACCTACAATCAAAGAGCACTCTGAACCCCACCGACGACAGAATTGGGCCAGACTTCCCACATACAACCCCCAAACCAACAGAAAATACTGTGTTTTCTAGTGGTCCTTAGTGACCCCTCTGACATTCCCTCGTGACCCCTCCAGGGGTCCCGACCCCCAGGTTGAGAATCACTGGTGTATATATTTGTGTATAAGTATATATATATATGTGTGTGTTTACGTGTAGAGATATATATGTGTGTGTGTGTGTGGTTTTGGCTTTTAAAGTCTCTTTTGCTATGTTTTTCAGTGTTTTTATGAGTGATGGTCACTCGTTGGCCTGATACTTATATTGTGTCCAAATTTGGTGTCAATTTGTCCAGTGGTTTTTGAGTTATGTTAATCCCACAAACGAACATTATATTTATATATACCCTGCCAGGCATTGCTGTGGCCCAGTCAGGTGATCTGGAAAATAAAGTAATGTTAAACTGTTGATTTCTAATATATGTAATTTCTTTCTGCTTGTGGGTAAGCAGTGTTTTATTGCTGTTCCTTTGTCAGGGTTGATGTGGAGAGTGTCTGGTTTGCCCATCCTGGAACATGCAACATATCATTGTCCCTTTCACATCTATGATACTATATCTGTGAGTGTGTGAATCATATCTATCTATCTCTATCTATGGCTGAATGGCTCTTTGTCAGGAGGGCTTTGATCAGTAGATGGCCTACATCAATAGGATCCTAGTGTCTAGATCCAGGGAAGTCCTGCTCCCCATGCTCTATTCCGCTTTGGTGAGACCACTTTACCTGGAATATTGTGTCCAATTCTGGGCACCACAATTCAAGAGAGATATTGACAAGCTGGGATGTGTCCAGAGGAGGGCGACTAAAATGATCAAGGGTCTGGAGAACAAGCTCTGTGAGGAGCGGCTAAAGCAGCTGGGCATGTTTAGCCTGAAGAAGAGAAGGATGAGAGGAGATACGATGAGCACCATCTATAAATATGTGAGAGGAAGCCACAGGGAGGAGGAGGGAGCAAGCTTGTTTTCTGCTTCCCTGGAGACTAGGACGCAATGGAACAATGGCTTCCAACTACAAGAAAGGAGATTCCATCTGAACATGAGGAAGAACTTCCTGGCTGTGAGAGCCGTTCAGCAGTGGAACTCTCTGCCCCGGAGGGAGTGTGGTGAAGGCTCCTTCTTTGGAAGCTTTTAAACAGAGGCTGGATGGCCATCTGTCAGGAGTGCTTTGAACGCAATATTCCTGCTTCTTGGCAGAATGTGGTTGGACTGGATGGCCCAGGAGGTCTCTTCTAACTCTAGGATTCTAGGATTCTATGATTATGTTTTCTTGCCCTGGTGAAGGGAGTTCAACTGGATGGCCTTAAGTATTTTGTGTTGGTCATGGGGGTTCTGTGTGGGATGTTTGCCCCAATTCTGTAGTTGGTGGGGTTCAGAATGCTTTTTGATTTTAGGTAACTACAACTCCCAATTTTCAAGGTCTATTTCCCCCAAACTCCACCAGTGTTCACATTTTGGCATATTGGGTATTCATGCCAAGTTTGGTCCAGATCCATCATTATTTGAGTCCACAGTGGTCTCTGGATGTAGGTGAACTACAACTCCCAAACTCAAGGTCAATGCCCACCAAAGCCTTCTAGTGTTTTCTGTTGGCCATGAGAGTCCTGCGTGCTACATTTGGTTCAGTTCCATCATTGGTGGAGTTTAGAATGCTGTTTAATTGTAGATTAACTACAAATACCAGGAGTGCAACTCCCAAATGACAAAATCAATTTTTATGAGTGATGGTCACTCCTTGGGTTAGTAGGTGTCTTGTGTCCAAATTTGGTGTCAATTCCCCCAGTGGTTTTTGTGTTGTGTTAATCCCACAAACGAACATTACATTTATATATGTGTGTGTGTGTGTGTGTGCGCACGCGCGCACATGGTTTTGGCTTTTTAAGTCGCTTCTGCTATGTTTTTGAGGGTTACTAATTGACACGGAATTTGGACATAATACACCTATCAGGCCAATGAGCGACCATCACGCATAAAAACACGGAAAAACACAACAGAAGAGACTTAAAAAGCCAAAAAACAAATAAAAAGCATTACAATGCATGTACAGAACCACATATATACACAAACACACATACATACACATATGCACAAACATATACACACACATATATACACACACAAAACACATATACACAGATTGAGCCACAGCAACGCATGGCAGGCGACAGCTAGTTTACTATATTTATACCACTTCATCAGGTTGCCATTATGTCCGCAATTCCTGTTCAACATAGACATGAAACCGCTGGGAGAGGTTATCCGGAGTTTTTGAGTACAATGACACATATATGCAGATGACACCCAGCTCTATGACTCCTTTCCACCTAAAGCCAAGGAAGCTGTGCTGACCCTAAACCAGTGCCTGTCACCAGTAATGGACTGGATGAAGGCAAACAGATTGAGACCTAATCCAGACAAGACAGAGGTGCTCCTGGTCAGTTGGAAGGCAGGTCAGTTAGAGAATAGGGACCCAGCCTGTGCTGGATGGAAGGAGGCCCACTCCCCTTGAAGACACAGTTTGGACTCAGCACTGAACCTGGAGGCCCAGGTGTTGGAGGTGGCTGGGAGGGCATTCTTTGCACAGCTGAAACTTGTGCAGCAACTGTGCCCGTCCCTTGAGAAGCCAGATCTGGCCATTGCGGTCCATACCTTAGTTACATCCCGTCTGGATGACTGTAATGTGCTCTATCTGGGGCTGCCTCTGAAGATGCTCAGAAACTCCAGTTGGTACAAAGAGCTGCAGCCAGGTTGCTCACTCACCCACCTCTTGCAGCATCTCCCCCACCTGCCAGTCTGTTTCAGGGCACAATACAAAGTGCTGGTGGTGACTTGTAAAGCTCTAGACCAGTGGTTCTCAAGCTTCCTAATGCCACGACCCCTTAATACAGTTCCTCATGTTGTGGTGTCCCCCAACCATAACGTTTATTTTATTTTATTTTGTACATTTCTATACCGCCCCTCTCAGCCTTCCAGCGACCCGAGGCGGTTTACAAGGCAAGAATTCAATGCCACCAAGGACACAATTACAATATACAATATAAAAACATCAGCAACGATAAAATCAAACATTATAATGAAACATAGAATCATAGAATCATAGAATCAAAGAGTTGGAAGAGACCTCATGGGCCATCCAGTCCAACCCCCTGCCAAGAAGCAGGAATATTGCATTCAAATCACCCCTGACAGATGGCCATCCAGCCTTTGCTTAAAAGCTTCCAAAGAAGGAGCCTCCACCACACTCCGGGGCAGAGAGTTCCACTGCTGAACGGCTCTCACAGTCAGGAAGTTCTTCCTAATGTTCAGATGGAATCTCCTCTCTTGTAGTTTGAAGCCATTGTTCCGCGTCCTAGTCTCCAAGGAAGCAGAAAACAAGCTTGCTCCCTCCTCCCTGTGGCTTCCTCTCACATATTTATACACGGCTATCATATCTCCTCTCAGCCTTCTCTTCTTCAGGCTAAACATGCCCAGTTCCCTAAGCCGCTCCTCATAGGGCTTGTTCTCCAGACCCTTGATCATTTTAGTCGCCCTCCTCTGGACACATTCCAGCTTGTCAATATCTCTCTTGAATTGTGGAGCCCAGAATTGGACACAATATTCCAGATGTGGTCTAACCAAACAGAATAGAGGGGTAGCATTACTTCCTTAGATCTAGACACTATGCTCCTATTGATGCAGGCCAAAATCCCATTGGCTTTTTTTGCCGCCACATCACATTGTTGGCTCATGTTTAACTTGTTGTCCACGAGGACTCCAAGATCTTTTTCACACGTACTGCTCTCGAGCCAGGCATCCCCCATTCTGTATCTTTGCATTTCATTTTTCCTGCCAAAGTGGAGTATCTTGCATTTGTCACTGTTGAACTTCATTTTGTTAGTTTTGGCCCATCTCTCTAATCTGTCAAGATCATTTTGAATCCTGCTCCTGTCCTCTGGAGTACTGGCTATCCCTCCCAATTTGGTGTCGTCTGCAAACTTGATGATCCTGCTTCAATCAATAATCATTAAAACAATGCCAGTTCCACCATATAGTTATTCCATTATTATATCCGTTACTCCGTATTTTCAAATGCCCGCTCAAATAGCCATGTCTTAAGATTCTTCCGGAATGATAGGAGCAAGGAAGCTGATCTAATCCCTAGGAAGGGCGTTCCATAGCCGAGGGGCCACACTGAGAAGACCCTGTCTCTCGTTCCCACCAACCATACTTGTGATGATGGTGGGACCAAGAGCAGGGCCTCTCCGGATGATCTTAAAGTCCTTGCAGGTTCATATGGAGAGATTCGTTCGGACAGGTAAGTTGGGCCAGAACCGTTAGGGCTATATAGGCTAAAGCCAGCACTTATTTTCGTTGCTACTTCATAACTGGAATTTTGCTCCTGTTATGAATTGTAACCTAAATATCTGATAGGCAGGATGTATTTTCATTCACTGGACCAAATATGGCACAAATACCCAATACACCCAAATCTGAATACTGGTGGGGTTGGTGAGGGTGTCAATTCTGTCATTTGGGAGTTGTAGTTGCTGGGATTTATGGTTAACCTACAATCAAAGAGCATTCTGAACTCTACCAACAATGGAACTGAACCAAACTTGGCCCACAGAACTCCCATGACCAACAGAAAATACTGGAAGGGTTTGGTGGGCATTGGCCTTGTGTGTGGGAGTTGTAGTTCACCTGCATCCAGAGAGCACTGTGGACTCAAACAATGATGGATCTGGACCGAACTTGGCAGGAATACCCAATGTGCCCAGATGTGAACACTGGCGGAGTTTGGGGGAAATAGACCTTGACATTTGAAAGTTGTAGTTGCTGGGATGTATAGTTCACCTTCAATCAAAGAGCATTCTGAACCCCACCAATGATAAAATTGGACCAAACTTCCCAAACAGAACCTCCAAAACCAACAGAAAATACAGTGTTTTCTGATGGTCTTTGGTGACACCTCTGACATCCCAGGGGTAATGACCTCCAGGTTGAGAAACACTGCTCTATAGTTACATTTGTGTACACAAAGAGATATTACAGTTACTCAGCATTCACAAACATATAACATTCATTCCTACACACATACATTGGATCTGGACCAAACTTGGCAGGAATACCCAATATGCCCAGATGTGAACACTAGTGGAGTTTGGGGAAAATAGACCTTGGCATTTGAAAGTTGTGGTTGCTGGGATTTATGTTGTTGTTATTGTTTTATGTTTTTTGATTTGCTTTGAATTGTATTGTTGTTGTTATGCTGTTGTTGTGTTGAGGCCTTGGCCTGTGTAAGCCGCATCGAGTCCTTTGGGAGATGCTAGTGGGGTACAAATAAAGTTTAATAATAATAATAAAAATAATAATTTATAGTTCACCTACAATCAGAGAGCACTCCGAACCATCTCTGCCAGGTCATTTCATGCCTTTTTAGACCACACCTGGAATATTGTGTCCAATTCTGGGCACCACAATTCAAGAGAGATATTGACAAGCTTGAATGTGTCCAGAGGAGGGCGACTAAAATGATCAAGGGTCTGGAGAACAAGCCCTATGAGGAGCGGCTTAAGGAGCTGGGCATGTTTAGCCTGAAGAAGAGAAGGCTGAGAGGAGATATGATAGCCATGTATAAATATGTGAGAGGAAGCCACAGGGAGGAGGGAGCAAGCTTGTTTTCTGCTTCCTTGGAGACTAGGACGCATTGGAACAATGGCTTCAAACTACAAGAGAGGAGATTCCATCTGAACATGAGGAAGAACTTCCTGACTGTGAGAGCCGTTCAGCAGTGGAACTCTCTGCCCCGGAGTGTGGTGGAGGCTCCTTCTTTGGAAGCTTTTAAACAGAGGCTGGATGGCCATCTGTCAGGGGTGTTTGAATGCAATATTCCTGCTTCTTGGCAGAATGGGGTTGGACTGGATGGCCCAGGAGGTCTCTTCCAACTCTTTGATTCTATGATTCTATGATCTCTTCCCCTGGTGTTTGGCAACCCTTATCTCTCCCAAATTCCTTCCCTCTTCCCTCTCTTCTCTCTCCCTCCTCCCCTCTCTATAACCCATTCTTAAACTCCTTCTTGTAAAATGCCCTTTTCGCCTTCTTCGTGTGCTGATGCCACACGTCTGCTCCCTTTGGCCCCGCAGGAGGACCTCAAGAGGCATGTGGCAAACAGGAGGATGAGCGTGCCCGGCGCCCGGCAGGATTACGATGGAGACGCGCTGCGGCGGCCTCTTGTTCAGCTCCAAGTTTGACTCTGGGAACTTGGCTCATGTGGAGAAGGTGGAGCACCAGGAGGGAGACCTCGACATCACGGGGAATGGCGGCAGCAGCAGCAGTGGAGGCAGCACCTCCATGGTGTTCGGCAGCTCCCTCCCCTTCGCCGATTACGAGTTCAACGTCTGGACGAAGCCGGACTGCGGAGAAACCGAATATGAGAATGGAAACAGGTGAGGAGGGAGGCGGAGGTGGCAGGGGGAGAAAGAGAGATAGATCGTTAGCAGGAGGCAACTCAAGAGGGAAGTGGCCAAGGGGCAAGTTTGGGACATTGAAGAGGGCACAAGGAAGCCAAATGTAGGAGAATAAGTATCCACATTGGGGGGGGGGGGGGGGGGGGATGGATGTGTACAGAATATGGTGATGTGAATAGAGTTGGATGCAATGAGCATCAAAGGGGGAGAAGCAGAAGAAATGAAGTAATGTCCGGAAAGCGGGAGGATGCAAAGCATGCATGTCACTCTCTTTGGGCCTGCTCCCTTCATCCCTTCCACAGGGAGGGATGGAGGGAGCAGTCTCTGCCACTGACTTCCTTCCTGCCCCCTTTCCCCAGGTCCTGGTTCTACTTCAGCGTGCGTGGAGGCGTGCCCGGCAAGGTCATCAAGATCCACATTGTGAACATGAACAAGCAGACCAAGCTCTACTCACAGGGAATGGCCCCCCTGGTCAAGACTGTGCCTGCCAGGCCTCGCTGGGAGCGCATTCGAGAGCGGCCGGCCTTTGAGGTACCCGTGGGGCAGGATTGGTGCATCCGAGGCATGTATGTGGTGGGATGCGGGTGTATTCCCCAAAAGGCAGCTTTCTGAAAGGATATGAGCTCCTGTTTGCAGGGCTGGTGAGGCTGGAGCAAGTCCTGGGGACAGGCAGCTCCTAGTCAGCTGAAAAGAAGGGCCAGGAGTCCTGGGGCCTTTCCAATCTGTGGCTCCTTCCACTTCCCTTGGCAGTGCCTGCTTAGCTTTGGTGCTGGTTGGCTGCTGCTTGACTAGACTCAACCTGGCTTTGGGACTATTTCCCCTGGCCCTGCTTGGAAACTCCTATGCAGTGCTCAGTCCATCAGACTGCTTCTTCCTCTGTTGTCTTGCTGGAATACCAGGAGACTAAGCGGCTTGCTTTCTCCAGAAGGACAGGCATCTGCTGCTGGCACCAAGAGCAAAGCCTGCTCCTTGAGTTTCCCTGGAGTGTGGCCTCTGCCTCCCCTGACTGTGAGAGCCGTTCAGCAGTGGAACTCTCTGCCCCGGAGTGTGGTGGAGGCTCCTTCTTTGGAAGCTTTTAAACAGATGCTGGATGGCCATTTGTCAGGGGTGCTTTGAATGCAATATTCCTGCTTCTTGGCAGAATGGGGTTGGACTGGATGGCCCATGAGGTCTCTTCCAACTCTTGGATTCTAGGATTCTATGATTCACTGGGAATCCAAGGAAGGACCAGTGGATGAAAGAAAGTTTGAAGATGGGTGCATCTAAGTCAGTCTTTTGCTATCGGGGGAGAGGGAGCTGCACCAGGGAAGCCTTTGCAATTTGACAGGAGCCCTGAATGGGCTCAAGGTGATAAAGGCTCTTGCAGCAGATATAACAGCCTGCCTCTCAGTTGGGTGGGTGGGTGGGGGGGGGGGGGCAATCAAGAGTTCAGCTCCAACAGCAAGAGAGGGTTGGGGGCCTGCATAGCCCAGTGGCTCCAGGCAAGAAAAGGCCATTTCGCTCAGGTTTCCAGCACGGCACGTTGGCATCAGCCTTCTGCCTTGCTTGCCCCCGTGTCTTCCTGGGCGCCTGCCTCTCAGCTCTGGCCCCGCTTTGCCTCTTGCAGATGGTGGAGACCCAGTTTGTCCTCTCCTTTGTGCACCGCTTCCTGGACTGCCGCGGGGCCACCACCTACTTTGCCTTCTGCTACCCCTTCTCCTACACGGAGTGCCAGGAAATGCTGGCCCAGCTGGACGCCCACTTTGCCGAGTGCAGGCACCTCTCTCCCAGCAGGTAGGAGAGCGATGCCCATGGCATGCGTCCACCAGGGCTTTCCTCACCAGAGGCCCCCTTGGTCCAGGTTTCAGGGAGGGGGTGCACGGCCATCTCTAGAGTCAATAACACCTCAAGACCTCAGTTCTGGGGAAAGGATCGATGGGCCTCTCCTCTTTGTCTAGATAAGCCTGAAATGTTGTACATTTTTTGGGAAGGGGGGCTGCCAGGGCTGCAATTGAAGCCCACCAGGCTGTACTTTGCACATCCTGACTTAGAAGATGCCCGTGGTCTTAGCAATACGTTCGCTGAAGGGAATGAAGGAAGGGCCTTGGTTAGACCACATCTGGAATCACACTGTGTCCAATTCTGGGCCCCACAATTGAAGGGAGATGTTGACTCTGAGCTGGAATGTGTCCAGAGGAAGAGGGTGACTAAAATGATCAAGGGTCTGGAGAACAAGCCCTATGAGGAGCGGCTTAAAGAGCTGGGCATGTTTAGCCTGAAGAAGAGAAGGCTGAGAGGAGACATGATGAAGGCCATATATAAATATGTGAGGGGAAGTCACAGGGAGGAGGGAGCAAGCCTGTTTTCTGCTGTTCTGGAGACTAGGATTCAGAAAAATGGCTTCAAACTACAAGAAAGGAGATTCCACCTGAACATTAGGAAGAACTTCCTGACTGTGAGAGCTGTTCAGCAGTGGAACTCTCTGCCCCGGAGTGTGGTGGAGGCTCCTTCTATGGAGGCTTTGAAACAGAGGCTGGATGCCCATCTGTCAGGGAGATTTGAATGCAATTTTCCTGCTTCTTGGCAGAATGGGGTGGGCTGGATGGTCCATGAGGTCTCTTCCAACTCTAGGATTCTATGATATGATAGCCATGTATAAATATGTGAGAGGAAGTCATAGGGAGGTGGAAGCAGGCTTGTTTTCTGCTGCCTTGGAGTCCACAACACAATGGAGCAATGGCTTCAAACTACAAGGAGATTCCACCTGAACATTAGGAAGAACTATGGTAGCTGTTCAGCAGTGGAACTCTCTGCCCCGGAGTGTGGTGGAGACTCCTTCTTTGGAAGCTTTTAAACAGAGGCTGGATGGCCATCTGTCAGGGGTGATTTGAATGCAATATTCCTGCTTCTTGGCAGAATGGGGTTGGACTGGATGGTCCACGAGGTCTCTTCCAACTCTAGGATTCTTTGGAGGGATCTTTTGGATTTGTCCTTCTGATTGAGTTGGCCATTCCTGTGGGGGCTTCAAAGTCCCGGCCTTCCTTCCCCTCTTTCTTTGGGTCTTGGGAAATGGCTTTGGGCTCAGCCAGACCCTTGGCACATCTAGCTCAGGGGCTGAGCCTACAGCATCCCATCTATCTCAGGGGATGGATGGCCTACAGCATTCCAGGTCATCAAGCAGGAACACCTACAAACCTTTGTCCAGATGTGCCACTCAGTAGGGTAACTAAGACCAACCGTTGGCTCTTTCCCGGGCAGCTGAGATTTCCATATTGTCCTTTCAATATAGTCATTAGTATCCCTGCTTTTCTGCTACACCTCATCCTTGGCTTGCTTTTTTTCAGCCCCTTTCTTCAGATCTACCTGCAGAACATCTAGACCAGGCCTGGGCCAACTTCATCCTTCCCTCCAGGTGTTTGGACTTCAACTCCCACAATTCCTAACAGCCGGTAGGCTGTTAGGAATTGTGGGAGTTGAAGTCCAAAACACCTGGAGGGAAGGATGAAGTTGGCCCAGGCCTGGTCTAGATGGAGTTGTGGGGGTTGAAGTCCAAAACACCTGGAGAGAAGGATGAAGTTGGCCCAGGCCTGATCTAGATGGAGGAGCATCCATCTAGACTTCATCCTTCCCTCCAGATGTTTTGGACTTCAACTCTCACAGTTCTGTTAGAAATTGTGGGAGTTGGAAGTCCAGAAACCTAGAGCAGCGGTTCTCAACCTGGGGTCCCCAGATGTTTTTGGCCTACAACTCCCAGAAATCCCAGACAGTTTACCAGCTGTTAGGATTTCTGGGAGTTGAAGGCCAAAAACATCTGGGGACCCCAGGTTGAGGACCACTGCTATAGATTGTTTGTGTATCCAGTGTAGCTATAGAGCAGAGGCTGAGTTCTACAGCTATAGTAGCTACAGAGAAGGCATCTGTTATAGAACTCCAATATGCTGATGATAACGTAGTCTGTGCACATTCAGAAGAAGACCTCCAAGCCACCTTTGCAGAAGCATACGAGAAGCTCGGCCACTCAGCGGACATCAAGAAAACCAAAGTATTCTTCCAGCAGTCACTAGCCAACCAAAATTTTCCCATGCCTGATCTAGACCCCACTCTTCCCTTGTGCTGCTCAAGGGATTTGGGGAGCAGAACCGAACCGGGGAAGTGAGGCCTTGGCTGGGATGGGGCTGAGCAAGGAGACTGAGCGCAGGAGGCCCACTGAGCCAGGCTTTCCTCTGCCCATCTAATCTAGTGTCCAACATTATAGTACCGTGAGTCGGAAGACAGGCACAGACCCTCGAAGGCAGGTGGAAGGGAAGCTGCGCCCCACCATCCACCGAGGGAGGAAGTGCCTCCGGAGAGGACGCCCCAGGGGCAGGAAGGAGGAGGCCGGCCCGGCCAAGGGCGCACCGTAAGTGGGTTGCCTTGGCTTCTCATGCCAGGCCTTGGCTGTCCTTCAGAAGGGGGCTGCTTGGCCCCAGGAGCCACTCTTTGGTTGCTCTTTTTGAGGGGGGGGGACACTGGAGACCCAGGCCCAAGTAGCGGCTTAGCCATTGTTTACCTGTCTATCCCTCCCTACCTCCAGAGCCAAGCCCACCAGGAAGTCCCTTTGCCCTTGAGTGATGCCCCTGGGAACCTGGGAGCAGTGGTTGTGTGATCCACAAGGATATGTCACTGTGGACAAAACCCCTGCAAAGGCTTGGATGGGGAATGAGACCCCAGGCCAAAGGAGAGAGATTGCTACAGGCCTACTTCTCCCCCCTCCATCCCCAAAACCCACAAAGGCCTTTTTCCTTTGAGGACTTCTTTCTGAGTTCTGGAGGACAAGAGCGAGCCGTGTCCTGAGGATCCTCAGACAGAGCCAGGAGGTGGGCTGCCCCACTTCATGCAGGGTCTCACCCGCTCTCTCCTGTCCCCAGCTCCCTGGATTCCATCTATTACCATCGGGAAGTGCTCTGCTTCTCCCTGGACAAGCTCCGCGTGGATCTGCTGACCATCACCTCTCACCACGGCATGCAGGAGGAGCGGGAGGCCCGGCTGGAGAAGCTCTTCCCGGACAAGAACACCCCGCGGCCACACTGCTTCCTGGGCAAGAGGGTGAGTCGGGCCAGGAGGGAGGCAGTCCTTGGGGCCCACAATGCCCCATTCACAGGAGTCTTGCCGTGGATGTCCAGGGATTGGCCAGAGTGAATGAATCATAGAATCAATGCCCAGGATGCCCAAGATACACTGGCAAGAGAAAGAGGGAGCATTTCCTCCCTTCTCCCCTTGTCATGAATGTCACATGATCACGACTTGCATTCCACAGGTGTGTTATCACATGTCCATTAGAACTGTATTTTACACAATAGACTTGCTACCGATGTATTTCTATCTAATAGGCTTGTTTGATCCAAAAAAAAAAAGGTTCAAAACTCGTTCGATTCTAAAGTCAATTCTGATTTTCACAGAAAAAAAATGTTCAAAACTTTTCAAAACTTCCGAGACTTCTGAACCCTTTTGTTAATGGTTTGAAAGTGTTATTTCCTGTTTCATTGGGTGGTCGTTACTTTGAAAGTAGTTGTTTTACTCCAGGAGCGGGGAAAGCAAAGGGAGGAAATTCCTTCCTTCTCCGGTTTAAAACTGGCTTCTCTGGCTTGAGCCGAGGCCAGGGACCAGAATAATTTCTGACTTACTTCCTGAGTCGGAAGAAAAATGGCGAGACTAGCTTCAGAAAGGGACTTCCGGTTTCCTAAAAAAGTTCAAAATTGCTTCAAAAAGGTAATTTTCCCCACATATATACATATGTGGTGGCAATGTAAATATGTAAGTGAATTTTGGGGGAAGCTATAATGGATATGAAGATAGGGAAAAGTGCAAGCATTGCACTGTTGTTACTATATAACGTTAAGAAATAGAAAAAAACAGAGAAAGATGCAATAGATAACACGTTAACTGCAGCAAGATTACTGATAGCAAAGAATTGGAAAAGTAAAATAAATATATCAATTGAAGAATGGTATAAAGAATTATGGAAAATAGCAATAAATGTGTCAGGAGTCAATTTCTGACGGCATGAAGACATCACAAATTCCCTCCATGACATCCTGACTGAATCATCCTGGCTGCCTCAATTCTCTCTCTGTGACATTTTGAATCCAGCAGAGGACGCTGGAAACCTTGTATGGGAACTTGTGAAGTAACAAATTCTAATAAGGAAACTGAGAAGAGGGGGAGATGGGCAGGAAAGGTGTATAAAAGGAAGTGGTGGTGGGAAAAAGTCAGTAGTGTTTTTCTTTGCTGCAGAGATACAAGCAATATATTCCTTTCAAAGTAAAGCCGGCTTGTGAGTGATTATTTAATATTGCTATACAAAATCTACAGTCTTACAAAATGATAAATTGACATGTAGATTAAGAGTCAGGAAAGGGGGATGGAAGGAAAACGACTTTGATGAAGTTTGGGGAAAATTTATTGAGAATGGCTTAAAAGAAGTAGATGGGAAATTACCTCCACAAGAAGAAATGGTATTTTGGAAAGAGAATGTAAATTGAAGTGGCTCGGAAGGGGGGGGGGGGGGGGGGGCACAAACCGTCCCATCACAGGTGCGATTGGTGGGGAGGAGGGAGAGGGCCTTCTCGGTGGTGGCCCCTCGACTCTGGAACTCACTTCCCAGGGACATTAGACATGCTCCAACATTGGCAGTCTTTAGGAGGAGCATGAAAATGTGGTTGTTTCAGTGTGCCTTCCCAGAATAGGAGAACTCTCAGCAATATGCCCTCATAATGCACTTTAATACTGACTTAGGATGGATTGTTGTTCCCTCGTTTCTCTCTGAAGAATCCTATCCAGTTATATTTTTACCTGTTCACGTCAGCATATTTTTAATTTTAATCTATTACATTTGGCCCAGCCATTTTAAAACTGTTTATATGTCACTATTGATAGTTGTTTTGTTATATGATTTATATGATTTGTATTTTATTGATTGTTTATTAATGTTGTGTTTTTGATGTTGTTTGATGTATTGTGGGCTTGGCCTCATGTAAGCCGCACCGAGTCCCTTGGGGAGATGGTAGCAGGGTACAAATAAAGTTATTATTATTATTATTATTATTATTATTATTATTATTATTATTATTACAACGGGAGATCTATCTAGGCACAATATTTATTTATTTATTTATTTACTGCATTTATTGACCGCCGCTCTCAGCCCTAGGGCGACTCGCGGCGGTGCACAACATATAAAAACAGTTTACAAAAGACAGAAACAAGCAATCAATACAACAATAATACTATAAACTAGTTACACTAAATAATCCGCTCCGTCATATCCTGGAATCATAACCAATATCATCATCCGTAAACCGTTCCAATTGTCAATTTCTCATTGCCGTAGCGCTCAGTTGAATGCCTTCTCAAAAAGCCAGGTCTTCAGGCTCCGACGGAAGGACAAAAGGGAGGGCGCCTGTCTGATGTCAGCAGGGAGGTCGTTCCACAGCCGGGGGGCCACCACCGAGAAGGCCCTTTCTCTCGTCCCCGCCAGACGTGCCTGTGAAGCAGGCGGGATCGAGAGAAGGGCCTCCCCGGACGATCTCAAAGTCCTCGTGGGCTTATAGGCCAAGATGCGGTCCGAAAGGTATTTTGGGCCGGAACCGTTTAGGGCTTTGTAGGATAACACCAGCACCTTGAATTGGGCCCGGTAGCAGATCGGCAGCCAGTGGAGCTGGAACAGCAAGGGCGTTGTGTGCTCCCTGCGTCCCGCTCCCGTTAGTAACATGGCTGCCGCGCGCTGGACTAGCTGAAGCTTCCGGGCCGTCTTCAAGGGCAGCCCCACGTAGAGAGCGTTGCAGTAGTCAAGGCGGGATGTGACCAGACCAATATAAGAGTATTGAAGGTATTGATGTATTCTAAGAAAACCAATAAAATACATTTAAAAAAAATAAAAAAACCAAAAAGGTAATTTTTCCAAATTTATTCCGAATTACGAAGATTACAACTGGACTGATCCTTCTAGCACAGTGGTTCTCAACCTGGGGTCCCCAGATGTTTTTGGCCTACAATTCCCAGAAATCCTAGCTAGTTTACCAGCTGTTAGGATTTCTGGGAGTTGTATTCCAAAAACATCTGGGGACCCCAGGTTGAGAACCACTGTTCTAGCAGGAATTGCCTCCTTTTAAATTCTGTATGGTTATCAGCACCGGAGACGTAAGCATCTGTAGAACCATTATAGGAGAAACAGATCATTGAGACATTTCCTGGGTATCTCTGGGGGAGCCAAATTTCTTTTTAGGGTAGGCATGGTCAAACTTGGGCCCTCCAGGTGTTTGGGACTTCAGCTCCCACAATTCCTCACAGCCTACTGCCTGTCTCTTTTATTTTCTCCTTCATTGCTTCCCATCACCTCCCCCCTCCCCAAATCTTTCCCCAGGTGTTCTTCCTCAGCAGCAGAGTCCATCCTGGGGAGACGCCCTCGAGCTTCGTCTTCAACGGCTTCCTGGAGTTCATCCTTCGGGAGGATGACCCTCGGGCCCAGATGCTGCGCCGCATGTTTGTCTTCAAGCTCATCCCCATGCTCAACCCGGACGGGGTGGTGCGGGGCCACTACCGGTGAGGGTCCGGGACACATAGCAAGCATCCTTGGGGACCGGACGGGGTGGTGCGGGGCCACTACCGGTGAGGGTCTGGGGGCACATCGCCAGAACCCTTGGGAATGCACAAGCCCTTTGGGAGCCTTTTCTTTCTGCCCAGGAGGTTGAGCAGAGGGGGCCTTGACCCTAAGGGAACACTTTCCCTGGGCAGCACACCTTCCTCCTTCCTCTCTTATGCCACACGGCAGCCGCCTCAGAAGAGACTGATGGTGCTGATTAAGGAGAAACCTTTGATTAACAAGAAAGACTGGGATTTGTTTATTATGTTTTCACAACAATGAAGGGGGTCAAACTTTAGGATTTATGAGAGGAATGTCATTAAAAGCAGAAGTGCAGTTCTCTAAAGGAAGTAGGATAATAAGGGGAGGAAGGGGAACATGAGCCAACAAGGTGATGCGGCAGCTACAAAAAGCCAATGGGATTTTGGCCTTCATCAATAGGAGCCTAGTGTCTACATCCAGGGAGGTCGTGCTCCCTCACTATTCTACCATGGTCAGAGCATACCTGTAATCACACTGCATCCAGTTCTGGGCATTGCGATTAACTCTAAGCTGTAATGTGTCCAGAGGAAGAGAGTGACTCAAAGGATCAAGAGTCTGGAGAACAAGCCCAATGAGGAGCGGCTTAAAGAGCTGTGCATGTTTAGCCTGAAGAAGAGAAGGCTGAGAGGAGACATGATAAGAGCCATGTATAAATATGTGAGGGGAAGCCACAGGGAGGAGGAGGGAGCAAGCTTGTTTTCTGCTTCCCTGGAGACTAGGACGCAATGGGAAAATGGCTTCAAACTACAAGAGAGGAGATTCCATCTGAACATGAGGAAGAACTTCCTGACTATGAGAAAAGCTGTTCAGCAGTGGAACTCTCTGCCCTGGAGTGAGGTGGAGGCTTCTTCTTTGAAGGCTTTTAAAGAGAGGCTGGGTGGCCATCTGTTGTGGGTGCTTTGAATGCAATTTTCTTGCTTCTTGGCAGAATGGGGTTGGACTGGATGACCGCCCATGAGGTCTCTTCCAACTCTTTGATTCTAGGATTCGATCTGGTTTGCAGTTTGAATCTGGGTAGGGGTGAGCACCTGACCTTCAGCCTAGCTTACTGTCCACCTAAGCAGTTTGAAGATAGCTGTGAGGTGTGAGTAGAGAAATTAGACACTGCTTAAGCAGGGAGGTATTTTATGGCTGCGATCAAATAATAGGAGGAAAGTCTGTGATCATAGAGGATGAAGCGACAGCACCGCCCTGTGGCCGGAATCGAGCATAACTTCCAGGACGCTGAAGTTGGAAAATGCCAACACATACGTCTGCCTGTCCTGTATGTCTAATGACATTGAATGTTTGCCATGTATGTGTTCTGTGATCTGCCCTGTGTCCCCTTCGGGGTGAGAAGGTCGGAATATAAATACGGTAAATAAATATCTGTTAGATTAGAGCAGTGTTTCTCAACCTGGGGGTCGGGACCCTTGAGGGGGTCGTGAGGGGGTGTCAAAGGGGTCGCCAAAGACCATCAGAAAACATAATATTTTCTGGTGGTCATTGGTATTCTGTGTAGGAAGTTTGACTCAATTCTATTGTTGGTCAAGTTCAGAATGCTCTTTGATTGTAGGTGAACTATAAATCCCAGCAACTACAACTCCCAAATGTCAAGGTCTATTTTCCCCAGACTCTACCAGTGTTCACATTTGGGCATATTGGGTATTTGTGCTCAATTTAGTCCAGTGAATGAAAATATATCCTGCATATCGGATATTTACATTACGGTTTATAACAGTACTAAAATGACAGGTATCAAGTAGCAACGAAAACAATATTATGGTTGGGGGTCACCACAATATATGGAAGTGCATTAAGGGGTCACGGCATTAGCAAGGTTGAGGACCACTGGATTAGTGTTTCTTTTAGATTTAGATTTGTAAGATGTTTTAGTTTGGGTGCATATATGAAAATCCGCCATCTTTGTTTTGTCTCTGTTTATTATTTATTTCAGAATCAAAAATTAGGTTTTTTTAAAAAAGAAAGAAGTCGGCACTTTTTGGAAGGAGTTGTCACTCACTTCCGGCTGTTTTCTTTCTTCCTCCCCATAGGACAGATGCTCGGGGTGTGAACCTGAACCGCCAGTACTTGGAACCAGACGCGGAGCAGCACCCGGCCGTCTATGGGGCCAAGGCGGTCATGCTCTACCACCACGTCCACAACCGCGTCCAGCCTGGCGTCCCCGACTGGCGGACCTGCGCCAACGCCCTGGGCCCCAAAGCCTCCAACCAGCACACTTCCTGCAGCGAAGCCCCCGCCGAGGAGGCTCCTCTCTCCCAGCTAGAGAAAGCCAACAATCGCCGCAACTGCCCCAGGAGGGCCCGCACCCCGTCGCCAGAGGCCTCCGAGGCCTCCGAGGGGCCCGAGCAGGACTCCTGGATCCTCTCGGATGAGGGACACCCTGAGGTAGTGTGGTGGAGTCCCCTTCTCTAGCAGAGGCTGGGTGGGCATCTGTCGGGGGGGCTTTGAGTCTGTGTTCCTGCTTTGCAGAAGGGGGTTGGACTGGATGGCCTTTGGGGGTCCCTTCCAACTCTATGATTTACTTCTGTGAGGACTCTGAGAGCGAAGCCGAGAGCCTCCCCGCCCCAGAAGCCATCCCGCCACAGCAGAGCGGCCTGGCTTACTACGTCGACCTGCACGGCCATGCCTCCAAGCGCGGCTGCTTCATGTACGGGAACAATATCTTGGATGAGAACCAACAGGTGAGGAGAAGGAGGAAGAAGGGGAGAATGGGAGCTGCTGGAACCCAGTCTCACGCTCTGGCCAAGCTCTTCCTGGCCTTTGGAAAGAGATGGGATGGGATGGGATGGGATGGGATGGGATGGGATGGGATGTGATGGGATGGGATGGAATGGAATGGAATGGGGTGGGATGATTAGCAGAATGAGCCAAAGGCTGTCCTGAGGATGGAGGCACAATGGAGCTGGTGTTGGAGCTCAGCCTTTGATTGTGTTTCAGGATCAGGGTGCTTTGGATGTGCGGCGTGATGCCAATGAGTTTCAAGATGGCAATGGTTTGGTCAATGATATTGATGCAGAGAAGGACCAGGAGACCCCTGTTCAAAGTGTAGTTTCCCATGAGAATGTCCCTGAAAGGTGTGGGGATGATGGTGTACTCCCTGAATTCCTGCCAGAGAGTTCCCAGGATTTGGGGCTTGAAAACAACCTGACCCAGCTGCAAAACTTAATGGAGAGGCCCTGCTCGTTCTCCCGCCTCCATTGCAAGCGCAAATGGCGGGGACAAGGGACAGGGCCTTCTCGGTGGTGGCCCCTCAACTCTGGAACTCACTCCCCAGGGACATCAGACATGCTCCAACGTTGGCAGTCTTTAGGAGGAGCCTGAAAAGGTGGTTGTTTCAGTGTGCCTTCCCAGATTAAGGAAACTCCCAGCAATATGTCCCTTAACGCACTTTAGTAGTGGTTTAGGATTGTCTGCACGCCCTATCCCTCTCCAAAATTTCTATCCTGTTTATATGTCACCTGGTCACGCCAAGCATTACTTTTAAAAAAAATTTAATTAGTACATTTGGCCCTGCCATAGGTTTTTAAACGTTGTTGTGTTATTGTTAATGTTTATTGCTATTTTCTGTTTATGAGTTTATTTATTGTTGTATCACTGTTGCTATGTTTTATTGTTGTATTGTGGGCTCGGCCTCATGTAAGTCGCACCGAGTCCCTTGGGGAGATGGTAGCGGGGTACAAATAAAGTTTAATAATAATAATAGGTGAAATGTCAGGAGAGAGTGCTTCTGGAACATGGCCATACCCCCCAGAAAACTTTCAGCAACCCAGTGATTCTGGCCATGAAAGCCTTCCACAACACTTGAGGGGAGATGGTAGAAATGGTACAAATAAAGTTTAATAATAATAATAATAATAATGAGAAAATAGATAGACAGCAGGAGATTAGTCAAAACAGACAAACCGAACAGTGGCTTCGGCGTTCTGCCAAGCTCTGACGGAAAAAGATAAGGGAATCTCAATTAAAGCGAAACTAGTTTCTAAGATCTTGGAATAGCTTAACAAGGGGATAAAAGTTCCAAGTACGGGAAATATAGCCAGATGAAGCATCGTTTGAAATCAAGTGAAGTTCTCGTCCTTGTTTCATGGAAGCCTTGCTTGGAAGATTCTTGTCCAAGTATTTCTTGTTGCTGGGTTTGGATTCTTGGATTGTATGATTGCATACTCATGCCTATGGATTAATGTTTCCTGGTTTTTATGGATTATATTAGGGAAGTGTGGATTTTATTTTTATGGACTTTGCTGAACTGTACCCTGGACTTTTTTTTGCTCCTGCTTATCTTCTTACCTAATTGGATTTACCTATTTCTTTAAAGTGCTTGCTACTTTGCTGCTTTTTTGATTATCTTCAATAAAAGGATTGTTTTCCCATCAACGGTGTGGTGCTTAAAGTCAGAGGGCTTTTCCTTTTCCTGGGGTGCAACAGCTGGGGGTGCAAAAACAGCCCTCAGGCCTGAACCTGCAGGAAAAGAGGTTCCAGCTAAACATTAAGAAGAACTTCCTGATAGCAACAGCTGTTTGACAATGGACTATATTGCCATAAGAGAGGGGTTGCCTGTGAAGACTGTTCAGAAGCTTCAGTGGATCCAACAGTTACAGATTACTCACAGGAGGGGCTACAGGGAGCATACAGCCTCCCTCTTACACCACCTCCACTGGCTGCCAGTCTTCTTCCGAGCACAATTCAAAGTTCTGGCTTTAGCCTATAAAGCCCTAAATGGTTCCAGCCCATCTTACCTGTCCGAACGTTAGATCAGTGCCTTCCCTCTTAGCCTTGAGAAGAAAAGTACAAAAACTTGGCTATGGGACCAAGTCTTTGGGCAGTAAACTGTACAAGGAATGATCTGGGATTATGTGCTATTGATATAATATTCACAACGGCCTGGATTACAATTGTTGGAGTATGTGATTTTAATTGTTTATTTTGATATGTTATTAATTCCATGTTTTAATGTTAGATGGTGTCGTGTTTTATGATTTAATTGATAATTTATGTCATCATTATTTATTTATTTACGACATTTATATGCTGCCCTTCTCATCCCAAAGGGGACTCATAGTGGCTTTCAAGATATATATATACATACAATACATTATATGATTAGCATAGTACAATATCAGTATTATATATAACTATGTTGTACTATACCATTATATTGTAATATTATTAGTAATATTACATGTAGTACAATATATTATTATTATTAGAGTTTTTTTTGTTTTGTCGTGTCAGGAGAGACTTGAGAAACTGCAAGTCGCTTCTGGTGTGAGAGAATTGGCCATCTGCAAGGACGTTGCCCAGGGGATGCCTGGATGATTTTGATGTTTTTATCATCCTTGTGGGAGGCTTCTCTCATGTCCCCGCATGAGGAGCTGGAGCTGATAGAGGGAGCTCATCCGCCTCTCCCCGGATTCTCTCCCCGAATATTGTGATATTTATTTATTTATTTATTTATTTATTTATTTGGTGCATTTGTTGACCGCCGCTCTCAGCCCTGGGGCGACTCGCGGCGGTGTACAACATATAAAAACCGTTTACAATAGAACACAAACAGAAAATCAACATATCAAAATACACAATAATCTAAATTACACTAAATAATCCGCTCCGTTCCATCATCGAATCGTAACCAATCTCGTAATCCATTTCGTTCCGGTTGTCATTACCAATTAGTATAGCACTCAGTTAAATGCCTTCTCGAATAGCCAGGTCTTTAAGCTCTTACGGAAGGACATAAGGGAGGGCGCCTGTCTAATGTCAACAGGGAGAGCGTTCCATAGCCGGGGGGCCACCACCGAGAAGGCCCTCTCTCTCGTCCCCGCCAGACGTGCCTGTGAAGCAGGCGGGATCGAGAGAAGGGCCTCCCCAGACGATCTCAAGGCCCTCGTGGGCTCATAGGCCGAGATGCGGTCCAAAAGGTATTTTGGGCCGGAACCGTTTAGGGCTTTGTAGGATAACACCAGCACCTTAAATTGGGCCCGGTAGCAAATCGGCAGCCAGTGGAGCTGGAACAGCAAGGGCGTTGTGTGCTCCCTGCGTCCCGCTCCTGTTAGTAACATGGCTGCCGCGCGCTGGACTAGCTGAAGCTTCCGGGCCGTCTTCAAGGGCAGCCCCACGTAGAGAGCGTTGCAGTAGTCAAGGCGGGATGTGACCAGAGCGTGTACCACCAGAGTTATATTGTATTACATTATAATATTATAAATATTATATGTATATACAATGTATTATATATGTTAGGGTTTCTGTATGTGAGGCATTAAATTTTGCCATAATTGTGTTGGAAACCAGTTTCCGTCCCTCCCTAGGGTGAGAAAAGTGGTATACAAGTGAAGTAAATAAATAAACAAATAAAGAGTCTGAAGGTGTTTCTTTTTTGGGAGGTTTTTATGCAGAGGGTGGATGGCCATCTGTCGGGAAGGCTTGGATTGTTCTTTCCTGCCTGGCAGAAGGTGGTTGGATTGATTGGCTTTTCGGAGCTCATCCAGTTTTGATTCTATGAACCTGAGCTGCAGCATCCTCCATCTCTCTTCCCAATTTGTAGCCCTAGCAGAGTCTCTTTTGAATCCACATCTGCAGCTTGGCTTCATCTTTTTCAGCTGAGTGCAGAGAGCTGCTCGATTTCTCTCTCCCCGCTCCCCTCTTTGTCTTCACGGCTAGTCCCACCATCTTTGTTTGCTTTTGCAGGTTGAAAACATGCTGTTCCCGAAACTCATCTCGATGAACTCAGCCCACTTTGACTTTGGGGGCTGCAACTTCTCCGAGAAGAACATGTACGCCAAAGACAAGCGGGACGGACAGTCCAAGGAGGGCAGCGGGCGGGTGGCCATCTACAAGGCCTTGGGCATCATTCACAGGTAGGCGTGCTCCCCTCATCCCTGCTGCCCTCCTTGCACGGGCCTTCCCATAGGCTCCTCTTTCTCCCAGGTGGCCTTTGAGATGTTCCAGCTCCTGCTTAGATCAGAAGGGGTTATTTATTTATCGTGTCATCCGCAACCAGACCATTGTATTACATTTCTAACAGAACAAAGCAAACAAACAGATTTTGCAAACTTGGTAGTTGATTAAATGTCCTTTGAGCAGTATCTGGCCATTTGGAGTGCCTCAGGTGTTGCCGCAAGAAGGTCCTCCCTTGTGCACGTGGCAGGGCTCAGGGTGCATCGCAGCAGGTGGTCAGTGGTTTGCTCTTCTCCACACTCACATGTCGAGGATTCCACTTTGTGGTCCCATTTCTGAAGGTTAGCTCTGCATCTCGTGGTGCCAGAGCGCAGTCTGTTCAGCGCCTTCCAAGTCGCCCAGTCTTCTAAGTGTCTAGGGGGGAGTCTCTCATCTGGTATCACCCACGGATTGAGGGGCTGGGTTTGAGCCTGCCACGTTTGGACTCTCGCTTGCTGAGGTATTCCAGCGAGTGTCTTTGTAGATCTAAGAAAACTATTTCTTGATTTAAGTCGTTGACGTGCTGGCTGATACCCAAACAGGGGATGAGCTGGAGATGTCTCTGCCTTGGTCCTTTCACTATTGGCTGCTCCTTCCCGGCGGATGTCAGGTGGTGAAATACCGGCTAAGCAGTGTAATTTCTCCAGTGGTGTGGGGCGCAGACACCCGTGATAATGCGGCATGTCTCATTCAGAGCCACATCCACTGTTTTAGTGTGGTGAGATGTGTTCCACACTGGGCATGCATACTCAGCAGCAGAGTAGCAGAGCGCAAGGGCAGATGCCTTCATTGTGTCTGGTTGTGATCCCCAGGTTGTGCCAGTCAGCTTTCGTATGACATTGTTTCTAGCACCCACTTTTTGCTTGATGTTCAGGCAGTGCTTCTTGTAGGTCAGAGCACGGTTCAGAGTGACTCCCAGGTATTTGGGTGCACTACAATGCTCCAGTGGGATTCCTGTAGGGGTGATGCTATAAGCATACCGCATGGGGAAACCCTATTCTCCCTTTGAGGTGGTTGGGCTGACGCACCTGGGACGAGTTGTGCTGGGCCCCCACTTGGTCTGTGCAGGAGGCCCAAGATGGAGGAGAGCATTGGTTTGGGTGGTCATGGGTGGGTCCTCTAGGCCCACTCATGACCTCTTTCTGCCCGAGAAATGTTTATGTGACCCCAGGTATATAGAATATTTTACATAATCCCAGGTACCTAAGTATATAAAAAAGGTATTAAAAAGCCAAACCTTCATCTGTATAAATAAAAATGTAATGTATCATCAAAGGCTTTCATGGCCGTAATCACTGGGTTGATGTAGGTTTTTTGGGCTATATGGCCATGTTCCAGAGGCATTCTCCCCTGATGTTTCGCCTGCATCTATGGCAAGCATCCTCAGAGGTAGTGAGGTCTGTTGGAACTAGGAAAAAGGGTTTATCTATCTGTGGAATGACCAGCGTGGGACAAAGACAAAGAACAGCAAAACAACAGAGCGGAAACAATCAAGGACATCTAATCACCTCTCAACAAAAGATTGCCCTAGGCACTGCCAGTCCATCAAATGCTAATCAAGGTGGTCAGTTTATTTATTTATTTAGTGTACTTCTACCCCGCCCTTCTCAACCCCCGAGGGGGGACTCAGGGCGGCGTACACAAAGACACAATTTGATGCCTACACAATAACACAGATAAACGTATAAAAACAGCACTTAAAACAGTTATAACAGTTAAAAACAATCAATATATATCACAGTCAGTAAACCAATCTCAAGCTCCGCGTTCGACAACTCAGAGTCCATATTTCATTCTACATTGTCTATTCCTATCAGTCACCGTAGTCCTTTATTTATCTGCCAGATTGCCCAAACGCCTGGTCCCAAATCCATGTTTTTAATTTCCTTCTAAAGGAAAGGAGGGATGTCGCTGATCTAACTTCCCTGGGGAGTGAACTCCACAGGTGAGGGGCCACCACCGAGAAGGCCCTGCTCCTCATCCCCGCCAATCTCAGTTGAAACATTCACACCTAGCTCCAACAGACAAGATTTCTTTGTCCCACCCTGGTCACTCCACAGATATATAAACCCATTTTTCCTACTTCCAACAGATCTCACTACCTCTGAGGATGCTTGCCATAGATGCAGGCGAAATGTCAGGAGAAAATGCCTCTAGAACATGGCCATATAGCCCGAAAAAAACTACAACAGCCCAAAATCTAATGTTTGTTTGTGGGATTAACATAACTCAAAAACCACTGGATGAATTGACACCAAATTTGGACACAATATGAGTGACCATCACTCATAAACACACTGGAAAACACAGCAGAAGAGACTTATTTATAGAGATTACATTGTATTATAAATATTATATGCATACACAATATATTACATTACATTATATTACATTATATTATTAGTATAGCACAAAAAAGATGTTTAAAAAGCAAATGTTTATTGATAATAAACCAGGATTTCCAAGTCTTGCTAAATAGGCTGATTTTCCTTTTTGTGGAGTAGAGGTGGACATTTTCTGCACAAGCCACTGTAAACACTGCATGTTATTGCTAACAGATCTGTGTAAATTGGTGGCCTTCAGAAATGTTTTACTGTTACCAAATTCTTTGGGACCCCAACATTGAGCTCAGGGGACCCTTTAGGGCCAGGACCAAAAATGTAAGGCGCTCTGCTTCTAGTATAGCAGGCATATTTGGGCAAGAGCCCTTCCTCTGCATCTAGAAGCCACGGCCACTGACTCTGGCCACTGACCATCCCGCCCTTTTCTCCCTTTTGGTGTTTTCTAGCTACACCCTGGAGTGCAATTACAACACCGGGCGATCTGTCAACACGGTCCCGGCAGCCTGCCACGACAACGGGCGGGCGACCCCTCCTCCTCTCCCGACTTTCCCCTCCAAATACACTGTGGAGCTGTTTGAGCAGGTATTGGGGTGCCCCTTCCTCACCCATTCTTCCAATCCAGGCCTTCCAGGAGTGCTTCCGGTCTCAGCCACTGCTCAGCAGCATTTGTGGCCTCTTCCCACATTATGGTTCTAAGTGAGGGGAGAAGGCTTAAGACTGGAAATCCCAACTACAAGGGGAGCCCCCAAGGCTGCTTGGGCCAGCCCAGGGTGGAGAACACATGGTCCTCCACAACCCTTGTGATATTGAACGTCTGAAGGATGTTTACAATGCACATATACATGGCAAACATTCAGTGCCATAGACACACAACATGTATAGACAGACACTTAGAGGCTGTTTAACATTCCAGCTTTTTCATGAGGGTATTCTGTCCACCAGGGGGAGCTGTCGCTTCACCGTCCATTTGTGACACTGATGAAGTACTTCCTCATTCTTTGCATGCATGCTGGAGATTTTTATGGTGTCGTAAATTAGCCTCCCCACATAAGCAGTACCACCGGGACTGTGGCGCAGCTGGCTGAGTGTCAGCTGCATTAAGGTCACTTCTGACCAAAAGGTCATGAGCTTGAAGCCAGCCCGGGCCGGAGTGAGCTTCCGACCAATTTGTGTAGCTTGTTGTTGACCTTTGCAACTCGAAAGACAGTTGCATCTGTCAAGTAGGAAAATTAGGTATCACCTTTGTGTGGGGAGGCTAATTTAACTAATTTACAAGGCCATAAAAAAAAGACTCCAGCAAAGAGCATGCGGGGAATGTGGAAAGTACTTCATCAGTGTCATAGATGGATGATGAAAGTGACAGCTCCCCTGGCAGCCAGAAAAGTTAAATAGCCTCTGACCATCTGTCTATACCTGTTGTGTGTCTTTGGCATTGAATGTTTGCCATATATGTGTACATTGTAATCCGCCCTGAGTCTCCTGCGGGGTGAGAAGAGTGGAATATAAATACTGTAAATAGTAAATAATAAATAAATTTCCTACTTGACAAATGCAACTGTCTTTTGGGCCGCAAAGGTCAACAGCAAGCTACACAAATTGGTCAGAAGCTCACTCCAACCTGGGCTGGCTTCGAACCCATAACCTTTGGGTCAGTCGTGTTCTTAATGCAGCTGACCCCCAGCCAGCTGTGCCACAGTCCCAGTTAGGGAGTTTGGGAACCACACGAGCCCCCTAGACCTTCTGATCCCACCTTTGACCGTCTGCTCTTGTTAGAGAAGCCATCGGTGGGGCTGTTGCTAGTCTGGCCCTTCCTGCACCTTCATAAATCCATGCTCTTGATTGACTGCCACCCAGGAATGCCTTCTCTTGTTGTCCCAATTGGCGGTCCTTCCTCTTGACTCACAAGGGCGGCTGCTGCGGGATTTTCTTTATGGAAAATGAAGCGCATGCTCCTTTGCAAGGCACGGCTAACAGGACAGCCCGGGTGCCGCCACTCGCCGCCTTCCCTTCTCGCTGCAGGTGGGTCGGGCCTTGGCCATTGCCGCGCTGGACATGGCGGAGTGCAACCCCTGGCCCCGCATCGTCCTCTCGGAACACAGCTGCCTTAGCAACCTGCGCGCCTGGATGCTGAAGCACGTGCGGAGCATGAGGGGGGTGGTCGCCTGCTCCCGGCGGAAGGGCGCCAGGACCCCTCCCAAGGGGGCCAAGTACGTGGCTGCGGCACGGGGCAGGGACCAAGGGAGGGTTGAGTGGGGTGGCGTTGGGTGGGTTTCGGAGCATAGGGCTGCCCCAGGCATTCAGTGGAGGCTTGGCTGCTTGCTCCTCAAACTGGGAGACACGTTGCTCCCCAGGTATTCAATACTGCCTGTTTCCAGACTGTGGCTTGGAGCGGGCACATGCAAACTTCATCCCTCCAGCCCAAAGCTTCCCTCCGTTTCTTCTTTCCTTCCCAGCGGCATCTCAGCCTCCGCCTCGGAGAACTCCCTCTGCCGGACCCGGAGCTTCAGCAACGGGAGCAGCAGCAGCCAGCAGGCCTCCCCACAGGTCAAGGCCTCCCCCAGCTTCACCTTCAGCTGCTCCCACCCCTCGGCCTCCCTGGGCGGCATGGGGCAGGGCGCCCCCCCAAAAGGGGCCTCCAGGGTGCTGGCCCTCGTGCGAGGTAAGCCGCCCGGCCAGGCTCTGGTATCAGCGGCCCGGTGGGTCTTGGAGTGGGTTTTCTGCTGGAAATGGCCTTTTTGAACAACAGCCGTGACCTTCAATTCCCTTCCTGTTGAAATAAAAGAGCTTCACAGTCGAGCTCAAGCAACTTGTGAAAGCAGCCCATTTGTCAACCTAAGCCACCCTATTGTCATCAGGGATTCCCATCCATTGCTTCTGCTCTCTGAACCAAGAGATGCTCCCTTTGAGGGCCTCTATGGGTCAGGAATGGGCAGGCAAGCCACAATATACCCCTGGCAACAAGAAGAAGAAGAAGAACTTTATTAGGTTCTTGTGGGTTTTTTCGGGCTATGTGGCCATGTTCTAGAGGCATTTTCTCCTGACGTTTCACCTGCATCTATGGCAAGCATCCTCAGAGGTAGTGAGGTCTGTTGGAGTTAGGAAAATCGGTTTATATATCTGTGGAATGACCAGGGTGGGGCAAGGAGCTCTTCCCTGCTGGAGCTAGGTGGGAATGTTTCAACTGACCACCTTCATTAGCATTTGAAGGCCTGGCTGAGCCTGGGAAAATCTTTTGTTTGGAGGTGTTAATCTGTGCCTGGTTGTTTCCTCTCTGCTGTTTTGCTGTTGTAATTTTAGAGTTTTTTAATACTGGTAGCCAGATTTTGTTCATTTTCATGGTTTCTTCCTTTCTGTTGAAATTGTCCACATGCTTCTTGTGGATTTCAGTGGCTTCTCTGTGTAGCCTGACATGGTGGTTGTGAGAGTGGTCCAGCATTTCTGTGTTCTCAAACAATATGCTGTGTCCAGGCTGGTTCATCAGGTGCTCTGCTATGGCTGACTTCTCTGGCTGAAGTAGTCTGCAGTGCCTTTCATGTTCCTTGATGCGTGTCTGGGCGCTGCGTTTGGTGGTCCCTATGGAGACTTGTCCACAGCTGCATGGTCCATGGTAGACTCCTGCAGAGGTGAGAGGATCCCTCTTCTCCTTTGCTGAACTGAGCATTGGTTGGATTTTCTTGGTGGGTCTGTAGATTGTTTGTATCAAAGACAAAGAACAGCAAAACAACATATATATGTTGTATCATACCACAGATATATAAACCCTTTTTCCTATTTCCAACAGACCTCACTACCTCTGAGGATGCTTGCCATAGATGTAGGCGAAACTTCAGGAGAAAATGCCTCTAGAACATGGCCATATAGCCTGAAAAAACCCACAAGAACCTAGTGATTCCAGCCATGAAAGCCTTCGACAATACAAAGAACTTTATTTTTCTACCCCACCTCCATCTCCCCGAAGGGACTCAGGGCGGCTTACATGGGGCCAAGCCCAAGGCAGAATACAATTACAAACAAAGCAATAACAATTAAGACAGCATAAGACAGCGTAACAATAATAGCTAGCAACAACAATAACAGCAGACTAATTTTGGAGCGGGGGGAGGGGGGGGGGAGAAAGCCTCTCTGTGAGCTAGTTAAAGGATAAGGTGGTTGAGTAAGGTGAATAACAGTGTATAATAGCATAGGAAATAACATGGAAACAGAGCAAATTAACAGGGTCAGGAAAGGGCCTGAGGCTGTGAAGAATTCTGGGAGTTGGAATCCAAAGCACCTGAATGGAGGCCCCAAGTTTGCCCATGCCTGCACTAGTTTGGAAAAAAAATGTTCTGTTCTTGGTCTGGAAGTATGATTTCTCTTTTCTTGCTGTGGCCCTGACTTGGCAAGGAATCCTTCGTCTCCAGAAACTTCACTGATTTTGTGCCACAAACGATGCTGAAGGGGTTGAGATTCTATTAGGAGAGCTTCCTTCGTATCCTAGAGTTGGAAGAGACCTGGTGGGCCTCCCAGTCCAACCCCATTCTAGGGCAACCATGTTCAAAGCAACCCTGACAGATGGCCATCCAGCCTCTGCTTAAAAGCCTCCAAAGAAGGAGCCTCCACCACACTCCGGGGCAGAGAGTTCCACTGCTGAATGGCTCTCACAGTCAGGAAGTTCTTCCTAATGGTCAAGTGGAATCTCCTTTCCTTTCCTGTAGTTTGAAGGCATTGCTCCATTGCGTCCTAGTCTCCAGGACAGCAGAAAGGAATCTTGCTCCTTCCTCCCTATGACACATTTATACCTGGCCCTCATCATGTCTCCTCTCATCCTTCTCTTCTTCAGGCTAAACATGCCCAGCTCCTTAAGCTGCTCCTCATAGGGCTTGTTCTCCAGACCCTTGATCATTTTAGTCGCCCTCCTCTGGACACATTCCAGCTTGTCAATATCTCTCTTGAATTGTGGTGCCCAGAATTGGACACAATATTCCAGATGTGGTCTAACCAAAGCAGAATAGAGGGGTAGCATTACTTCCTTAGATCTAGACACTATGCTCCTATTGATGCAGGCCAAAATCCCATTGGCTTTTTTTGCCGCCTCATCACATTCCTGGTTCATGTTTAACTTCTTGTCCACGAGGACCCCAAGATCTTTTTCACACATAGTGCTCTCGAGCCAGGTTTCGTCCCCCATTCTGTACCTTTCGCGTTTCATTTTTCCTGCCTAAGGGGTTGGATTGGATGGCTCACCAGGTCTCTTCCAACTCTAGGATTCTATGATTCTTGGCAAAAGTTGTTTGGAGTGAGTTTGCCTTTGCCTTCCTCTGTGGCTGAGAGAGAGAGAGAGAGAGCTTTGCCTAAGGTCTGGGGGCCAGGGTTTTCATGGCCAAATTGGGATTTGAGGAGCCCCCGGTGGCGCAGTGGGTTAAACCACTGAGCTGCTGAGCTTGTTGACCAAAAGGTTGCAGGTTCGAATCCGGGGAGCAGCATGAGCTCCTGCTGATAGGCCCAGCTTCTACCAACCTTGCAGTTCGAAAACATGTGGGAAGGTAATGGTGCTCCATGCAGTCATGCCGGCCATGTGACCTTGGAGGTGTCTACGGACAATGCCGGCTCTTCGGCTTAGGAATGGAGATGAGCACCAGTCCCAGTTGGACATGACTGGACTTAACGTCAGGGGAAAACCTTTACCTTTTACCTTGGGGATTTGAACCTGCGTTTCCCAGCATCCTGTTCCAACACAACCAGTCACTACCCCATGTGGCTCTTGTGTACAGAGCCACGAAATGGGCTGATGTTTTGGCGTGTGCCAGTCAATCCCAGCTGTGAGGCTGCTTTTGTATTTGAGGGGTGTCAAGAAGAAAGAAGGGAGCCAGGCATTCAGGGGGGGAAGCCGAGCTCCAGATAGGCGATACAATCAACATCCCACCTCAAAATTAAACCAGTAACCTTTATTATTTTTATTTATGTCATGCATTTCTACCTTGCCCTTTTCCCCCCAAAGAGTCAGTGGGCCAAAGCTAGTGTAGTCCTGAGGAGTGTGAGGTAAACCTCTGTGTGAGAGAAGCCTCAGTGTGAAACTCCAGTGTAAAAAACCTTTGGAGGATTTGCAAAAGCGTTTCCTCCACTGGAACCCACAGTAGCTTCGTTTGCCACAGCCTTCCAGAGGGGTTTCCTTGCAGGCCAAGCTGGGTGGTGGTGAGAGCACCGGTCAGCCTCCAACGGGGTCATGTCTTGTCCTTCCTCCTCCGCTCAGAGCCGCGGGTCCAGGAGAAGCGGCGCCACCAGCACCAGACCTTGCTGAGAGCGGCAGTGACCAGCCTGCAGGCCCCCTCGGGGCTCGCCTCCTCGGCCAGGACGGCCTCCCACCTCCAGCTGCCCCCCGGCCTGGGCGCCTGCACCCTCCACATGACAGGTGGGCCCTCCCTCTCGACCCTTGGCCTCCGGCCTTACTGCTAGTCCAATGCAAATGGGGGCTTGCAGGCAGATGCTTTTGTCAGACATATTGAAAGTTAACTGGGTATTTTTGATTACAAGAGTGTGAGTCAAGCACTGAAAGAGTGAGTAGGCTGAGCCTGTTAAGAGACAGTGGGCCAAAGCTAGTGTCGACCTGAGGAGAGTGAGTAGGTCAAAGCCTGTTGGAGCCAGTAAGCCAAAGCTAGTGTTGTCCTGAAGAGGGTGAGTAGGCCGAAGCCTGTCAGAGTCAGGGGGCCAAAGCTAGTGTCCTGAGGAGAATGAGTAGGCCAAAGACAGTTGGAGTCAGTGGGCCAAAACTAGTGTCATCCTGAGGAGAGTGAGTAGGTCAAAGCCTGTCAGAGTCAGTGAGCCAAAGCTAGTCTCGTCCTGAGGAGAGCGAGTAGGCTGAAGTCTGTTAGCATCAGAGTGTTGTCCTGAGGAGAGTGAGTAGGCCAAAGCCTGTTAGAGTCACTGGGCCAAGGCTAGTGTCGTCCTGAGGAGAGTGAGTAGGTCAAAGCCAGTTAGAGTCAGTGGACCAAAGCTAGTGTCGTCCTAAGGAGAGTGAGTAGGTCAAAGCCTGTTGAAGTCAGTGGATCAAAGCTAGTGTCGTCCTGAGGAGAGTGAGTAGGCCGAAGCCTGTTAGAGTCAGTGGGCCAAAGCTAGTCTCGTCCTGAGGAGAGCGAGTAGGCTGAAGTCTTTTGGCGTTGGAGTGCCAAAGCTAGTGTCACCCTGAGGAGAGTGAGTAGGTCGAAGCCTCTTAAGAGTCAGTGGGCCAAAGCTAGTGTCGACCTGTCACCCTGAGGAGAGTGAGTAGGTCGAAGCCTCTTAAGAGTCAGTGGGCCAAAGCTAGTGTCGACCTGAGGAGAGTAAGTAGGCCAAAGCCTGTTGGGAGTCAGTGGGCCAAAGCTAGTGTCGTCCCGAGGAGAGTGAGTAGGCCAAAGCCTGTGAGAAGAGTGAGTAGGCCAAAGCCTGTTAGAGTCAGTGGGCCAAGGCTAGTGTCGTCTTGAGAGAACGAGTAGGCCGAAGCCTGTTGGAGTCAGTGGGCCAAAGCTAGTCTCGTCCTGAGGATAGCGAGTAGGCTGAAGTCTGTTAGCGTCGGAGTGCCAAAGCTAGTGTCGTGCTGAGGAGAGTGAGTAGGTCAAAGCCTGTTGAAGTCAGTGGATGAAAGCTAGTGTCGTCCTGAGGAGAGCGAGTAGGCCAAAGCCTGTTAGAGTCAGTGAGCCGAAGCTAGTGTTGTCCTGAGGAGAGCGAGTAAGTCAAAGCCTGTTAGAGTCAGTGGGCCAAAGCTAGTGTCGACTTGAGGAGAGCGAGTAGGCCGAAGCCTGTTAGAGTCAGTGGGCCAAGGCTAGTGTCGTCCTGAGGAGAGCGAGTAGGCCAAAGCCTGTTAGAGTCAGTGAGCCGAAGCTAGTGTTGTCCTGAGGAGAGCGAGTAAGTCAAAGCCTGTTAGAGTCAGTGGGCCAAAGCTAGTGTCGACTTGAGGAGAGCGAGTAGGCCGAAGTCTGTTAAGAGTCAGTGGGCCAAGGCTAGTGTCGTCCCGAGGAGAGTGAGTAGGCCAAAGCCTGTTAGAGTCAGTGGCCCAAAACTAGTGTCATCCCGAGGAGAGTGAGTAGGCCAAAGCCTGTTAGAGTCAGTGGCCCAAAACTAGTATCGTCCCGAGGAGAGTGAGTAGGCCAAAACCTGTTAGAGTCAGTGGCCCAAAACTAGTGTCGTCCTGAGGAGAGCGAGTAGGCTGAAGTCTGTTAGCGTCAGAGTGCCAAAGCTAGTGTTGTCCTGAGAAGAGTGAGTAGGCCAAAATTTGTCAGAGTCAGTGGGCCAAAGCTAGCGTCACTCACAGGAGAGTGAATAGGCTGAAGTCTGTTAGTCAGTGGGCCAAAGCAAGTGTCGTTTTGAGAGAACAAGTAGGCCAAAACCTGTTAGTCAGTGGGCCAAGGCTAGTGTCATCCTGAGGAGTGTGAGGCAAACCTCTGTGTGAGAGAAACCTCGGTGTGAAGCTCCAGTGTATAAAGACTGCTGTGTGAAACTCCTGCGTAAGTTTGGTCTGAGAGGAAGCTCTGTGAGAGTGAGGCTAGAAGCTGTTTATCTGCATGAGAAAGAAGCCCAGCGTGGAAGCAAAGAAGGAATTATAAAGAACTTTTTTTGAGTTATGGAAACCTTGTTCTTGTAAAAAGTGCCACCTATGGAAGGGACAACATTGGTCTGTGTGTTTGTGTTCTTTGTATCACTTTGGGCTCCTGGTGCTGGATCATGCTGCTGCTGAGAAGTTACTCTGCTGTGCATTCATGGGGAGGGTCTTGTGTTAATAAGTGGGCTTGTTTTGTTTTCTTGGGTGCCTCCTTGTTGACACTGGGCTTTGGGGACCAGGCACTGACCTCCCCTTATTTCCTTTTCTACCACAGGGCCCGGCTGCAACAGCCTCCTGGCCAAGGCTGGCACTGCCTGCCATGGGCTCCGGGAAGCAGACCACCCCCACGAGGAGCTGAAGCCCCCTCCTCCCTGTGGCCTGGCCCTGCTCCAGGTAAGGGGCAGCCGCCACTGCAGAAACAGGGAGGGCAGGGCTGATCTCAGTGTGAGCAGAACTCAATCGTCTCACCCTCAGCAGAAGACAGTTCCATCTTGTCACCTGTGCTTTACTAATAATATAATATATTGTATATACATATAATATTTATAATATTATAATGTAATATAATATAATACTAATAATAATACAATATTATAATTATACATTTCATATTACATGTATTATTATTAATATTTATTGTGTCAGGAGCAAACCAAACAGTTGTATTGCATTTTTTAACAAACAAACAAACAAAGCACGAAGTTTGCAAGCTTGGTAGTGGATTAAATGTCCTTTGACCAGTATCTGGCCACTTGGAGTGCCTCTGGTGTTGCCGCAAGAAGGTCCTCCCTTGTGCACGTGGCAGGGCTCAGGTTGCACTGCAGCAGGTGGTCTGTAGTTTGCTCTTCTCCACACTCACATGTCGTGGATTCCACTTTTCTTGACGTTGGCTCTGCATCTCGTGGTGCCAGAGCGCAGTCTGTTCAGCGCCTTCCAAGTTGCCCAGTCTTCTGTGTGCCCAGGGGGAGTCTCTCATTTGGTATCAGCTATGGATTGAGGTTCTGGGTTTGAGCCTGCCACTTTTGGACTCTCGCTTGCTGAGGTGTTCCAGTGAGTGTCTCTGTAGATCTTAGAAAACTATTTCTATATTTAAGTCGTTGACGTGCTGGCTGATACCCAAGCAGGGGATGAGCTGGAGATGTCTCTGCCTTGGTTCTTTCACTCTTGGCTGCTACTTCCCGGCGGATGTCAGGTGGTGCGATACCGGCTAAGCAGTGTAATTTCTCCAGTGGTGTAGGGCGCAGACACCCCGTGATAATGCGGCATGTCACATTAAGAGCCACATCCACTGTTTTAGTGTGGTGAGATGTGTTCCACACTGGGCATGCGTACTCAGCAGCAGAGTAGCACCGATAAGTCACTGATAAAGATGTTGGATGGCCCCAAAAGGACACTGCCTTCCTGGTCACATCTCCCCAGGGTGAAGCAAGAGGAGCCATTGGACAGGAGCCTCCCTTGGGTCAGTCAACCAATTCCCAATCCACCAAACAACAGCATTTGTCTAACCTGCGTTTTACTAGTTTTTTTGTGAGAATACCATAGAGTTGGAAGAGACCACATGGGCCATCTTGTCCAACCCCCTGCCACGCAGGAAAAGCACCATCCATCTCATCTTTGTGAGTCTTCACACTAAGTCTTGTTTGGAGCCTGTGTTGCAGCCATTTTCTCTTCCTCACTGCAGAACCTTTCCAGGCGGCTGAATAGTGAGAAGCTGTCAGACGCTTCCAGGTAAAGAGGAGAGCCAGCCTCGTTCCCACTTGGGGCGGGTGGATGAGGGAAGGGCTCCACGCCAAGACAGACTCTAAACCTCTCACCCTGGGTGCGCTCCCCTTCTCCCCTCTGTGAACCAGCCTGGAGATCCTGATGCCGCGTCCCAGCCGGATCCCTATCCGCAGGAAGCCGGCCAGCCAGACCCAGCACTTGCTCCAGCTCCAGAGCTGTATGGATGACTCTGCCCTCAAAGTCTGGAAATACACCTCCCAGTTGCCAGCACAGAGTTCCCTACCAGGTAGGCTCTTGCTGTGGCATCCAGGATCCCTTTCCCCCGCCCCACTTGTTCCTGAAGCCTATAGGGTCAGCCACAGGGGTTGACTCAAGTATGGGCAAACCCAGCATGCTTGTCCGAACGCATCTGCCTCTATGTCCCACCTCGTAATTTAAGACCCACCTCGTAATTTAAGTCCTGCTCTCGCTCCCGCCTACATTGCAAATGCGTTTGGCCAGAACGAGAGACAGGGCCTTCTCGGTGGTGGCCCCCTGCCTGTTGAATGCGCTTCCAAAGGAGATAAGATTGGCCTCATCCCTCCTGGCTTTCAGGAAGAAAGTGAAATCGTGGTTCTGGGACCAGGCTTTCGGATAGCAGACTTAATTAGCACTTTAGTTGGAAATTGACTGCAATGACGATACAGCTGATGATACTCTATTATTGTTTTAATTAATGCTTTATGTACTGTTGTAATTAATGCTTTGTGTATTTTAATTGTGTTTTATTATTGTAATTTTTTGATTACATGATAACTCTGCATAAAATGGCCTCAGAAGCACTTTAATTTCTTGTCGTGCAATTAAATCCTACCTCATCCCCCGGAGAACCCTCTCTGATATTTGACATTGCCTTATCTCCCAGTGTTTTAACATTTTAATCCTTGAATTTGGCCCTGCCCATGGTGATGTTTTGATTTTATATTGTTGTGTTGCTTATATACATTGGTTTTGTATTTTAGGTTATTTTTTATTATTTTATTTTCTGTTGTGTTTTTGTGTTATATTGTGTATATTGTACTGAGGGACGTGGCCTCATGTAAGCCGCCCCGAATCCCCTTGGGGAAATGGTGGCGGGGTATAAATAAAGTTATTATTATTAATTATTATTGTTGTTGTATTGTCGAAGGCTTTCATGGCCGGAATCACTGGGTTGTTGTAGGTTTTTTTCAGGCTATATGGCCATGTTCTAGAGGCATTCTCTCCTGATGTTTCGCCTGCATCTATGGCAAGCATACTCACTACCTCTGAGGATGCTTGCCATAGATGCAGGCAAAACGTCAGGAGAAAATGCCTCTAGAACATTTATTTATTTATTTATTTATTTATTTACAGCTTTGATATTCCGCCCTTCTCCTCACCCCACAGGGGACTCAGGGCGGATTACAGTATACACATATATGGCAAACATTAAATGCCAATTTTTGACATACAACATATACAGACATACACAGAGGCTATTTAACTTTTTCTGGCCGCCAGGGGAGCTGTCGCTTTCATCGTCCATCTGCGACACTGATGAAGCACTTCCACATTCCCCACATACTTCCCCGCTGGAGTGCTTTGCTGGAGTCTTCTTTATGGCCTCATAAATCAGTTAATTTAGCCTCCCCACACTTTTAAGGTGGTCCCTAATTTTCCTACTTGACAGATGCAACTGTCTTTCGGGTTGCAAAGGTCGACAACAGGCTACACACAATTGGTTGGAAACCCACTCCAACCCGGGCTGGCTTCGAACTCATGACCTTTTGGTCAGAGTGATCTTAATGCAGCTGACACTCAGCCAGCTGCGCCACAATCCCGGTGCTTTTACCCACATGTTTTGCCCACATCTATGGCAGGCATCCTCAGAGGTTGTGAGGTCTATTGGAAACTAAACAAGTGGGGTTTATATACCTGTGGAATGATGTCAAGGGTGGGAGAAAGAACTCTTGTCCCCCGACTCTGGAACTCACTACCTGGAGAAATTAGGAAAGCCCCTTCCCTAGAAAACTTTTAAAAAGAACCTTAAAACCTGGCTCTTTCGCTGCGCTTTTGATGAATAGGTCAGAGTGATCTTAATGCAGCTGACATTCAGCCAGCTGCGCCACAATCCCGGCCATATAGCCCAGAAAAACCTACAACAACCCATTATTATTATTATTATTATTATTATTATTATTATTATTATTATTATTGTATTGTCGAAGGCTTTCATGGCTGGAATCACTCAGTTCTTGTGGGTTTTTTCGGGCTATAGGGCCATGTTCTAGAGGCATTTCTCCTGACGTTTCGCCTGCATCTATGGCAAGCATCCTCAGAGGTGAGACCTCTGAGGATGCTTGCCATAGATGCAGGCGAAACGTCAGGAGAAATGCCTCTAGAACATGGCCCTATAGCCCGAAAAAACCCCACAAGAACTGAGTGGATTATTATTATTATTTATATGAAGCCGTCCCGGGTCCCTCTTCGGGAGTTGAAAAGGAATGGGGTAGAAATACCAGAAATAAATAAACAAACTTTGGCCCTCCGGGTGTTTTGGACTTCAACTCCCATAATTCCTGGCCTCAGGCTCTTTCCTTTCCTGCCTCAACCGCTTAACACCTGGAGGGACAAAGTTTGCCCATGCTTGCTCAAACCAAAAGTCTGCCTGGCTCTTCGAGCTTCTTCAGACGAGTTTGGTGGGAGTTGTAGTTCAAAACGCCGGGAGGGCCAAAGTTTGCCTGTGCCTGGGTGGCAGCCACTAGAATCATAGAATCAAAGAGTTGGAAGAGACCTCATGGGCCATCCAGTCCAACCCCCTGCCAAGAAGCAGGAATATTGCATTCAAATCACCCCTGACAAATGGCCATCCAGCCTCTGCTTAAAAGCTTCCAGAGAAGGAGCCTCCACCACACTCCGGGGCAGAGAGTTCCACTGCTGAACGGCTCTCACAGTCAGGAAGTTCTTCCTCATGTTCAGATGGAATCTCCTCTCTTGTAGTTTGAAGCCATTGCTCCATTGCGTCCTAGTCTCCAGGGAAGCAGAAAACAAGCTTGCTCCCTCCTCCCTGTGGCTTCCTCTCACATATTTATACATGGCTATCATATCCCCTCTCAGCCTTCTCTTCTTCAGGCTAAACATGCCCAGCTCCTTAAGCCGCTCCTCATAGGACTTGTTCTCCAGACCTTTTATCATTTTAGTCGCTCTCCTCTGGACACATTCCAGCTTGTCAATATCTCTCTTGAATTGTGGTGCCCAGAACTGGACACAATATTCCAGATGTGGTCTAACCAACACAGAATAGAGGGGTAGCATTACTTCCCTAGATCACTGCAGCCCCCTTCGCTCCACTCTCTCTGTTCTCTTTCCCGCAGAGTTCCCGCTGGAGGTGCCCGACCTGACCGTCGCGGGGCAGAGAGAGGAGCCGCTTTTTCTCTGCAACCCTCCCAAGGTTTTGCTGGACGAGGTACGGGGGGCCGGGAGCGTGGCCCAGCAGCCACCATCTGCTGCTGCTGGTGTTTCTCTCTGCCGCCGCTACCCTCCCCTCGAGCCCCTTGCGCCCCTCGCCTGGAGGCAGAGGCAGCAGCAGCGGGAGAAGCTGAAGCCGCCACCGCCACCGCAGCGTCCTCAGCGCGGGATCGGCAGCGGCCCCCCGCCCCTGTGAAGCCGAGGGCAGCCCCGCCCGGCGCCCTGAGCCCGCTCTCTCTGTTGCAGCATCTCTCGGGGCAGGCAGACGCCCCGCAGCTCACCTACCACAAGATCCTCTCCTTCTGCACTGAAGCCTGACGGGCCGGGAGGGGCAGGGATGCAGCGGCCGGCCACCTCCGCCACCAGCAGCGCCGCCCCAGAGCCAGCCCCGTGGAAGACGCCCTGCCTCTCGGCCTCCGAGGGGGGCCCCCGGCGCCACCCTCCCCTTGGGCCTGCCCCGCGCCCACAGCCCTGCCCCTTCAAGCCAAAGCTGCTCTTCGGGACCCCGCAGCCCCTGCTCCTGGCTCTCAGCCGCCTCCCAGAGTGTAGAGCCCCCCGGCCACCTCCCACGTGCAGACCGCTGCCGAAGACACCAAAGGCCTGAAGGAGAGCGGCGGACCCTTCCATCCCCTCCTCGTTGCCCTCTTGGGGGGGGGGGGGGGCAACTCCACCTCCTCCTCTCTGTCTACTCCGTGTTCTGCCTCAAGGATCCGACAGCTGCCTTCCTTCCTGTCTCCCCTGAAGGGTCCTGCCTGAGATTCGGGGAGCCCACCAGCCGCTCTTTGGCAGCCTTGGGAAGTGGCGTTCAGGGAGGGGGGGGGGGAGGTTCACAACACAGCCAAGCAAGCCTGCCCACCCACCCCACCCCTTCCCCTCCCGGGCCCTTTCTGCAGCTGTACATAGTTGGTTACTGGGCCGGAGACTTATTTTTGAAATGAGATTGTCTTGTAACACGTTTCTATTAATAAATTTTGTTTGACAAAAAAAAAAAAAAGAGAAGCGTACAAATTCATGTCTGGTCAAAGCTGGCGGGAGGCAGGAGGGAAGGTTCGGTAGGAAGGAGGAGGAAGGGGCGAGCCTCCCGCCATGTCTGGTGGTGTGGCCGAGCTGTGGAACTCCACGGGGGAAGAGACATCCCAGGCTCAATGCTTCATGGTGCTGGCAACAGGGCTCCGCTCTGCAAAAGAAAAGGGGGAAAAGAGGAATTGGGACTTAGCTGGGGAGAAAATTTCAGAGAGGCAGCATTTGAGATCTACAGCAGAATAATAATAATAAATGACAATAAGAAGAAACATGCAATCCCACAGTTTAGAGCACAAGACTCCTGTCCTTACGATCATGTTAAAAAACCAAACATTGGTCCCACAGCCAAGTTTTTAGTTTCTTTCTACCCTGTGACTCGGGTCACATAGAAACAACGGAGCACGTGCTTCTGCCGTGCCTGTTTTATAGAGACATTCGATCTCATCTCATACCCAGGACACTCTGGACAATTCTATGTAGTTCTGCTGCTCTCAGACACAAACTCGACTGTGACATACAACATCGCTAAGTTCTGTACAGCTGCGATTAAAATGCAACGGACAATGATTGAGGGTTGAAAGACCTAAGCTTCACATCTGAAAGATAGATGGGAAATCAGATATAGACTGGCATTTATAGTGTTGGATATTCCCCCCTCCCTGGTGCCATCCCCGCTACCTCTCTTTAGACTACGTTTGGATGATCTCGTGGGTTGAGTTAGGTTTTAATAACTACTTGTATTGGTTTTGAGCTTAGATTTTTTTTTTTAATTTATTATTTATTTCGTATACTTCTACCCCGCCCTTCTCAACCCCCGAGGGGGGACTCGGGGCGGCTTACAAAATGGCACAATTCGATGCCTACATATAATACAATAAACGTATAAAACAGCAGTTAAACAATTATAACAATTAAAACAACAATATATATCACAGTCAAAAGCCAATCTCATGCAATTTGTTGAAGTATGAAGTATATAACCCCTTGGGTTTGATGTGGATGTGCGGGACTGCGTCCCCCTGTTATGATTGGGTCATCGACCATAATAAAGTTTACTAGTTTCTTTCTAAAGCTCAGAAGGGAGGACGCTGATGTAATTTCACTGGGGAGGGAGTTCCATGGCTGAGGGGCCATCACTGAGAAGGCCCTGTCTCTCATACCCACCAACTGCGCTTGGAGGGTGGTGGGACAAGAGCACCCCCCCCCCCCCCCCCAGAAGATCTTAGCTTCCAAGATGAGTCATAGAGGGAGATACATTTGGTCAGGTAAGCTGGGCCAGAACCGTTTAGGGCTTTATAGGCTAAAGCCAGCACTTTGAATTGTTCTCGGAAGCAGACTGGCAGCCAGTAGAGTTGGCGTAACCGGGGTTATGTGCTCCATGTATGCTGTTCCGGTGAGCAATCTGGCAAGACTGAAGATACCAGTAATAAAGGTTTGGCAAGACTAAAGAGACCATCCTAAAAATGAAACCTGGAAAAATGCATTATGGAGAACAAAGGAGGTGAAGAATGAGATGAACTGTGGCAAGAAAGCTGATGATGAGAATCGACCAGAGAACTCTGGTTGCAAGCAACACATATATGTAGTCAAAGACAATAATAAACTTTATATATACCCCGCCACCATCTTCCCAACAGGGACTATATAATAGCTCTTTTAAAGAAGTTAACCCATCTGTTCCGGAATTGATGAGGCTCCAGCAGGTCTGAACTGAACGACTCAGGTTCTCTAAACAACCAAATAATGGATAACCCAAAAAGCTCTACATAGCAGACCCTTTTCTTTTTCGACTGTTTGCCAACATCTGTCCACCTGCCTCTCTTCTCCAGCAGCAGGCCTGAATGGAGCAGGATGGCAAGTATGAATGTTGAATGTACGGATTAGGAGTGAATGTTCAGTATAGGTGATGTTCCCCCTTTGTCTGTGTAACCCAGTGGTTCTCAACCTGTGGATCCAGAGGAGGGCGACTAAAATGATCAAGTGTCTGGAGAACAAGCCCTATGAGGAGGGGCTTAAGGAGCTGGGCATGTTTAGCCTGAAGAAGAGAAGGTATAAATACGTGAGAGGAAGCCACAGGGAGGAGGGAGCAAGCTTGTTTTCTGCTTCCTTGGAGACTAGGACGCAATGGAACAGTGGCTTCAAACTACAAGAGAGGAGATTCCATCTGAACATGAGGAAGAACTTCCTGACTGTGAGAGCCGTTCAGCAGTGGAACTCTCTGCCCCGGAGGGAGTGTGGTGGAGGCTCCTTCTTTGGAAGCTTTTAAACAGGGGCTGGATGGCCATCTGTCAGGGGTGATTTGAATGCAACATTCCTGCTTCTTGGCAGAATGGGGTTGGACTGGATGGCCCATGAGGTCTCTTCCAACTCTTTCATTCTATGATTCTATGTTTTGGCCTCCAGCTCGCAGAAATCCTAACAGCTGGTAAACTGGTTGGGATTTCTGGGAGTTGTAGGCTAAAACATCTGGAGACCCACACGTTGAGAACCAGTGGTACAAGAAAGGAGATTCCATCTCAACATGAGGAAGAACTTCCTGACTGTGAGAGCCGTTCAGCAGTGGAACTCTCTGCCCCGGAGTGTGGTGGAGGCTCCTTCTTTGGAGGTTTTTAAACAGAGGCTGGATGGCCATCTGTCAGGGGTGCTTTGAATGCAATATTCCTGCTTCTTGGCAAAATGGGGTTGGACTGGATGGCCCAGGAGGTCTCTTCCAACTCTATGATTCTATGGTATAACCAAAATAGCTATTGTAAAACCAGTACTGGGTCTGTGTGTCTACTTCTTTCTCTGAAAGTGGCTGATTTTCTTTCCTGACTGAAAACGGATTAAACATCATATTAAGCTTCAGAAATATTCATAATATTCAGCAACACATCCAGATCCCTGCAGGGCTTACCTTTCCAGGGGTCATTCTTGCTTCTTAGGGTTGTTGACGGCTACGTAGTGATAGAGGACGACCAGCAAGAAGAGGGAGACCCCCAGCATGTTGGCAAAGATGGCCAGCTGCACGTCTGTCACCATCCTGCAGAAGAGGCAATCACAGACATATCAGCATAATGACACCGTATAGCTGGAGATAAATCAGTGTATGTATACACTGTTTGGCGCTGCACCAAATGCAGCGCCCAGACACGCATCAAGGAACATGAAAGGCACTGCAGACTACTTCAACCAGAGAAGTC